TAAAATCAGATGAATATGTAGTATACTTACAGCCTGTCTCCTTACAGAATAGATGAGGCTTGGTACTAGCATGTAAGTCACCTGTGTGTGTGTCTGTTGAGAAATACCCCGAGGGAACTTTGTGGGCTCGTCTCTATGCCCCCACCATCTGCACCAACCCATAGCGGGGTTTCCTCCCCATCTCGGGCGCAGATAGATAGTGAAACTGCGTCCGTGTCTGCTCCCAGTTCTCTTTCTGACCAACCTGAAAATTTTCCATGCCCATGAGTTGTGTTTTTCTTGAAGTAAAAACTGCATGAACAGATCTAGAAACAGGTATATATTTTCTTCTGAGTAGTTGATACTTGAGTAACTGTATCGAAGCAGGAGGTGGAAGGTACTTGGTATTTGCCAATATAAAGGCAGAAATTCTTTAAAAGCAGCGCATGCTACCAGGTTTTTCCAGTAGTTGCTAGGAAGAAGGCTAATTGTCAAGATTCTGTAATGAAAAACCAGTTAGCTATTTTTACTCAAATTTGGAAAAAACGCAGGCTCCTTGGTGCAGATGTTGTTCTTGTGTTGTTCCATGGGCATAGAGCACAGCAGTATGTGTCCATGCTTTGGGGATCATGGGACTTTATGCTATCTTTGTAGCAGAAACAGAACTCTTACGATGTTATCATATAAAATATGAATTTTAGTATTAAACTTAATGCTCTGCTATGAGAAATATGTAAACTTGGCTTTGGAGCAGCAGTATGCACTTCCTGGAATTCTGTGCATAGCGTAGTTATAAATAAGCAGCAGGTTATTTGGGAATCACTAGGGCTGATATCTGGTATCATAAACAGTATCTGGGAGAAATTGTTTTCCCTGACAGACAGTTGATTTTTGAAGAATGCAATATGCTTTATTTTGAAAATTCATATCTTATTAATGAACACCAAGTATACATCGAGCACAGTGACCAGCTCGCAAAGCAAACACATATATGCTATTTAATTACTTTGTACCTCATCTGTTGCCAAAATTCCGTTCCTTTGACTGTTTGAATATAACATTTCCAATCCAGATCAAAATGCTAGAATTCATCACTTTTAGGTAAGATACTAAAACTATTGATAAGCGTAGGATTGTCAATATATGGCTTAAGTCTGGCTTTCAAATAAATTAAAGGGAGTTGTCTTTTATCTGTGCATGTGTCTATAGCATTGGAAACATTATGTATTTGTATACAATTCAATAGGCTCTTAAAAACCTTAGGAAAAGTATTCCCTACGTTGTTCAAGCTCTTAAGCTACCAGAATCAGTGTTTTCTGCTTCATTGTTACGTTTTAGTAACTTACTGTAATCTGATGTATAACGTCATGGTTATAGGGGAATTTGGGGTGGAGTAACTGCAAGAACAGAACCACCCCATGCAGTGGCATGAATTTTAGATTTCGTGTATTAATAGAACCTGGGCGTTGCGAGCGGGTGGTGGTTTCTCACCTGGGGTTTCTGTTTGACCCCTGCATGCGGGCACCCAGCCCAATGGGCCGGGGCAGCCCTGGCCCGGGGGCGCCTGGCCCATGGTGGCCCGGCGGTGCCTGGAGCCGTGGGCTCAGGGACGCGGCCTGTGTCCTCCCCGGGCTGCCGGGGTGGTTCCACTGGGGCTCAGCGGCCTGCACCGCGTGGGACCCGCGTACGCGCGCCCCGCCAGGGCCTGGTTCCGTTCTTCACTTCTTCCCAGCTCCCACGGCACGCCGCCAGTGGTCTCCAGTGGAGGGGCTCCGGCCGATCTCCGTGACCGCCTCCCCGTGGCGCAGGTTACTGGCAGTTTCCTGGGTCACTGCCACCCTCCGGCCTCCCTCCCTGAGCGCGTGGCAGGGCCGTGGGGCTGCCTGCGGCGCGTCCGTGTTTCCCCTTTCCTCTCCTGCCCGTGCCGCAGCCCAGGGGCCGGGCAGACGCCGCCCAGGCTCCTTCGGCAGAGCTGTCCGCTTGGCCTCCCCACGGCAGGGAGCTCTGGTCTCGCTGCTCCGGCCCATCCCAGCCTCATCTGGTCGGTGAGGGACGAGCAGATGCGGCCCGGGCCTCATTTTGTCTGCATGGTGCTTTTGGGCAGGTCTCCTCGTGACAGCTGTCCATACGGCCACGCGTTACCCTGCGTTTGGAACAGCCTGTGTATTTTTGATTTATGAAAAAGTATCTGCGTTTCAGACAGTTTGTTTCAGGGTTGGCCACGTTTCAGGCCAAAATTATTATAAGATGAAAGGTTTCCTCAGTCGTGGGTGGATTGTGAAAGAAATAATAGGCACTCGTGGGAATTAAGAGTGTAGAGACAGCAGTGTGACATCGCTGCTGTCCCTCTTTTGATCCCTTCTGTGAGGACCCTGTGTTCGCCTCAGGAGAGCTTTCACAGCCCTGAGGGCGGCGTTTGGTTAGGCTCCGAGAGCAGGAGATGGCTCCTCCTGCTGAGGGGTTGGAGGAGGGACCCCTGGTGCCCCCCACGGGGGTCAGAAGCCGCCCAGTTCCTCAGGGGGTCTGACTGCACGAAGGGAGGGTTGGGACTGTGTTCCCACAGCCTCTCCCTTCAGCAAGGAATCGCCTGGGGGCTCCTCAGCGGTTTTGTGGAGTTCCTGGGTTGTTGGGGTTTTTGCCATGTTTTTAATAGCTGTCATGACAGGAAGGAAGGAGTCTTAATCCAAGTCGCTAGAACAGTGAATTGCTGTTACAAATGAGCAAATGACGATCATAAGCAGTGAGTAGATTAGATTAGCTGCAGAGCACGTCCACATCACTACCTTGTGGGCAACCTCCTAGAGCTCTGAAGGGACTCGCCCTAGATATTGTCCAAAGTGGTGCTGTATGTTCAGTTAGGTTAAGCGCAAATACGTTGGTGAAAATCTATCAGAAAGGTAAACTGTTTATGAGGGAGATATGGGAATATTTATCTGGTGTCTGCTCAGCTTCTTGTGAATATCGTTGGTCCAGTTACTACTCCTCCTCTTTACAGCACCTGAGAGCGCCTGGGCCAGGCGTCGCAGGCCAGTACGCTGCTGCTTGTGGTCTCATTCTCATTAGGGACTGTATTTTGGTGGGGGCATGTGAGTTGATTCGTTTTCACTGTGTGAGAACTGTCTCACGTTCCGGGGTGCTTTGTAATACCAATAAGCTACTCGGACGCGTGGCGTCTTGAAGTAATGCGGCGCTAAGAGACAGAAAGGAATCGCTCCGTGCAGGGCCTGACTATGCTGTCTGCTTTTTATTGATTTTATTTCTGGGCTGCCCTCTTGTAGCAGCAGGGAAGATCAACTGATCCATGTGTATGCGATTCAAACAGGGAGATGGCCTGCGCTTTTGGTTTGCACAGGGATGTGTTGAAGTTGGATGGATAGTAACAGCCACATTTTAAAGAAAAATCACCCCTGAGATTTAGATTAATTGACAATAAAAGGTACCGGTGCAACTCTGCTCTTCAGGTGACACTGTTAATCATAAAAATTGTTAAACGCTGAAGTGGCTTTGAGGTGTCTCTAAGTGATGAAGATAACACCTGAGCAGTGCTTTAACGTTATAATTTATTTAAAGCAATCACAGTCCATTCAGTACAGAAATATTTTCAGCTAGAAATGTTATATCTAGTGTAATTGAATATATAGATTTAACAGACATTATTGTTTGGTGAGAAAACTGATGAGAGCTATTTCTTTCTAGGCTTTATTGAGCTGTAAAGTAAGTGATAACAGTACACATATCCCTCTCAAAGTTTATCCGTAATTTGTCCACCTCTGCTAATATTTCATATTCCTTTTCTTCTGTCTGTCCTTGTCAGTGGATTGCTGGAAGTGCACTGAGATATCTTATGTGAATTTTCATGCTCTTTGAAGCGGTAGGTATGAATGGATGATTAGGCCACCGCAGGCAGCCCAGTCTGAGCATCCTCAAGAATCACTGAGTGTTGCAAGGGTCGGACAGATCTCTGAACTTCTAGACCTTGAAGGGCTCTCTTTGTCCTTTCATCTTCATAGTTGTAAAATGGGTATGGAATATAGTTGGTGGAGTTATGAATAATGCTTCAAATACCCAGTAGTAAAGGTATAGTTAGATGGAGACCAGGTCCCACAGTCAGCTTGTTGGTGGTTGCCTTTGTGGGAGATGCCTTTGGATTGTTCACTCTGAGCGAAGATGGTGATGGAACAGGCAGTGAAGAACACGCAGAAAAGTAGTGTTTATCGCTTCTATATGGACCTAACTGTGCATAAGTGAATTTGTGACGGCACTGTGTGGCCCGAACGCTGGTATAACCATATCCACATGCTTAACCTGAAGTGGGGTATGAATGGTCAAGTCTTCAAGGGGGAAATACAGGATTACTCAGAAGGCTGGTTATAAGGGTGTATTACTGTTCCTTACAAAGTAAGCATTCTGAATTAATGGAACAGCATTCTTTTAAAAAACCCAAAAAGTTCTAATAGGTTAAAAAGTTCTGTTTGGTAAAGTGACAAAACAAATTTTTGTTTTGGTGGAAAGTGTTTACTATTCATGCAGTTCTATCTTCACTCTTTGGAGGTTGGGTTCCCCTCCCTTCCCTGTCAGATGTGCATATGAGGTTTTCCTTGAAAAAAGACAAAGTCACCAAGTCTTGACATGAACTTTTCAACGACGTGGTGAACAGTAATTGCACTCTGCTTTTTAATGCATCTGGAGACTAATTAACGGAAAGAGTAGATTATTGCTTTGTCCTTTGAATTATGCATAGGTTGTCAGAGGAAACAGAATTTTGTCAGTACTTAACATACACACTGTGGACTAAGGAGCCATTGTGGACTGTCACAGAAAATGCTCTGCTGAAATAGATAAATTATAACAACAGATAATGTGCAACAATAAAGGGGTAGAAGCCAGTCATTGCTAAAATAATGGTACTCAACCATCTTCATTGTGACCGGATTGATGTTTATAATTTTTTGCTTTGCTGATGTAAAGGTGACCTTAGAGGTAAAATTACTCCTTTTTCTGCCTTTTTTCCTATTTGACAGACTAGAGACGACTTCCTGGGTCAAGTGGATGTGCCACTCAGTCACCTTCCGGTAAGCAGTGCTTTTGTCTCAGCGTGCTCTTTTTTGTTCATCACCAGATGCGAAAAACTGATGTTATATAGAATTTATTTCCATAAATAGTCCAGTTAAATTTTCTTAAAGCAATCATTCTCAGCGTAGCATTAGAGGCTTACAGAAAAACGATATGGACAACAAAGCCCAGCCGTGCACAGGAGCTGGAGAAATGGTTCCCTTTGCAGGGACAAGGAAGACAGTTGGTCTCTGGTATCGGTTAAATTCCTCAGCATCCAGGATTCACTTCTCATCCTGATTCTTTCTCTAAAATCCTTGTCTGGTCTGAGTCAATTGATGAATGACATGTGGCCAATAGACTGGTTGTTTCTCCCCTTACTGGTGGTGATTATTGTCCTATTAAGCTTCTGCCTTCTCATGATTTTCCCTTACAGTTGAAACAGTTGTATTCTCCCTTAGGAAACTCCATTTCCTTCCAAACTTTTGTTAAAACATTGAAAAAAACCCATGGTTTTGGGGTCCTATTTACCTGTCTGATTTTCTGTCTAAATAATATGCTGTTAAGGTTATGGGATAGCAGTTGTGTCTGGGAAAGTGGATAGTACATTTTGATACTACTTCAAACCTTGTAGCCACAGACCGAAACCAGAGAGACGGCTGAACCAGCATGACAGGATCTTAAGAAGTTACAAAAATTCAGGTCTTCTGAAAACATTATAAAATTACCGATCTTCATAGCGAATATTAGTAAAATTATTGTATTTATTACTGATGGAAAGTAAAATTATCTGAAGGACTCCGAAGTAATAATGGAAGTAGTGAGATATTCATGAGTGCCATAGCACACACAACATTCGTTAGGCATTATTGACAGTAATGATGATACATGCTGTGATATTGTCAGAGCATACATTATAGCTTTTAATATGCATGCATATAACTTTTAATGTCTATACATGTATAAACAGATGTTTTCTGTAAGAGGCGAGTAGGCACCTGTTGCCCTTCTTATGTGATAGGGAAGTATGTACTTTGGATGTTTTCTCAATTTTAAACAGCTTGAATACATTCTATGCAAAGAAATATGAATCAAATTTAACTTAGAAAAGCTGATATTTGGAGGGTTTTCTTCTATGTTTTAAAAAGTTAGAGTTTAAACACTTGGGTTAATGCCTGCTTTCAGTGTCGTTTATTTACAGATGTTTTCTGAAACACCAAACATATCATTGTGCAGGTACCTCAGTTTGTTTTATACAGATAGGTAAAGTCTTAGTTACTGAGGTAGACAGCTTCCCGTCTGGCATCCCTGTTGCGCGTGAGAGACGAGCCGTGAGATGACTGGAGCGCGTCAGCTGAGAGCTGCCGCGCCACTGCGTCGGGCCAGCGTGTGCCTGGCTGGTTGCTTTTCCTCGTGCCCTGTGAACTCTGACTAGAGAGGGAGAGGTTACGTTCACAGTAGGCACGCGCGTACTGTGGGTGCAAATCTAGGTTTTGTAGGTACTGCCGTCGCTGTCTCCTGGGTGGCTACTTCAGTGCACGTTTCTGTAGGCAGTGGTGTCTGCTTGGGCAGGCCCCTGCCGTTTATTCACACCCTCTCGTCGCCTGCTTAATTATCCTGGGTCTAATGCTCAAATGGTGAACCAGGTCTACGTTATTCACAACTAGGTAGTTTTGGATGGTCTATTTTTTCCACTCAGGCTGTCTCCTTGGTCCGGTTTATGAGATGGCCATGCAAACAGCTGTACTGGCTTTGGGGCAGGAGTAATCACCGGAGGGGAGACTCATTCAGTGCCCCTGCTTGAAAGATACACTCGTTACTTCAATTAGCAACTTGCATTACTGTTAGAAGTGACATAGGGCTGTGTTCGGCTGGCTTGCATCAGGTTTGCATGGGAAGGGGGAAAAAAACCGGTGGTACAGATAAGCCAAATTAAGCTTCGTTTTAGCAGATGTGCTTCAGCAAAGGCATGGAAAATCAAAGGGCTGCAATAACTATGTGGTATTTTCATTCATTATTTTAGCTAAAATTGAATTATTTGCCAGCAGTAAGAGTTCTAATAGCAAAAAATTAACAGTAATTGGCACAGAGTTTGAATAATTTTATTGTCAGCAATCAAATATTTGAGGTGTTTGATTGGAGGGTGGTAATGTTGTCTCTATTTGTTTCTTAATAAATGGAGGGATTCTAAGTGTAAAGCTTGTTCTGAAATTCTGTAAAGCTCCAGTTGTCTGCTTTCCTCCTGGCAGCCAGGGTTCTGCATGGTCTTCACACAGCGGGGAAAATTCCAGCCTAAATTAAGTGGAATTTCTGTTTACTGTATAGTCAAGGGTGAGGTTCTCCTCCTTTAATTCTACGAGCGTGGAATTGACATAGCACTGGCTGGCTGTAAATTGTGATGTGAAACTCCAGCTTCAGGTTTTTATAGATTGTGCATAGAATCTGTCCACGGAAGGATGCTCGACATTCAGAGACTAGTGAATACTGTCCTAAATGTAATCATAGTCCAATAAAGACAGTGGCAGAACTGTTACTGGCTCCAGTGCATTCAAGTTTTCACTGCCAGACTTTTTCACTGAAGAAGTCTTAAGCGAGAGGTCTGTGCCTCTGCTTTCAGTTGATGGGCCCTCATCAAATCTCTTTCTATTGGAAACTGCTGAAGGGGCTGAAGACATTGTGCTGGGTTGGAGATTCTGTAGGGATGCTGTAGTGAAAGAGACATAACTAAAAATCAAGATTTTTTTGAAATTACTTCAGTGATGTTGGGTATTTCATGAGGAATCATTTTACACAGAGCCTGCCGTCAAAGAAGGTGAAGTGATGGAGCAAAGAGGGCCCATGTGGCATTCTAATTGTACGAAGCTTGAAGTTAACCTCAGTTTGTGCCCGCAGCACATAAAGCCTATACATTGCATAGAACGCTTACTTTACACAATGCTAGGTGTATGTCTGTAGTGCTACCATCTATCCCATGCTGCAAAAGCCTCAGTCAAAACTACTTTCAAAGATAAGTAAAAATGAATTCTTGGGTGGATTTGCTTCAGTTTCAGTTTTTCAGTATCGCTGTATGGTCTTTCTTTTTTTTCACTTAGTAGACAAAAATCCAAAATTAACTTTGCAGAAAATGTGTGTGCCAAAAAAACACATTTATTTTGTCTTTTTGTATTCATATTATACTTCACCCTATGCTTCAAAGCTGAATTCAATCACTGACAAAAGAACTGAAGTTAGAAGGTCACAGGGCACAAAAAGTATGAAGCACTGCAGTTGTTTTTCATCTTCTTTGTAAATAGTAGAAAATACACTTTCTACTTCACAAAGTTTTCTAGTAAATTCTACATATGCATATGTATGTGTACATTTATACAGTGATTGTTCTATGCTTGATGTAAGCGTTTTCTGATATTCTGTAATGTTTGGGATCACTAACATTGGATGTAATTAATATTTTAAAATGTTGTGCATGTTAATCTTACTCACTTCCATGAACCTGGAGGGGGTTTTTTGTATCTGAATGGGTGAACATGGGAATGATGGAAGTTATTGAAAATGTTTACATGAAAATAAGGTGTCAGTTTTAGCATGGCCGTTGCTCTTTGCTTCTTGCTGTTGATGGATGTTACTGTAGGAAGAAGATGGCTTTGTAATGACTTTCACAGTGATGCTTATTTAGATCTGTCTGTTATGGTTGATCTTGAGTCATAACGCTGTTGTTGTTGGCTTATAAGCTATAACAGTTGAAAAATATGACGGAACGATCAGAAGCGTATTCAGATGAAAAATGCATCGTTCCATTCTCATATGAGCTGTATTGTGTGGAATTATTTTATCCGTACTTGTGTGTATATTTCCATTGACATGTATCCATAGGCACAGACATTATCTAAATAGCCTGTACGTAACTATAGAAGTCCTCCAGTGTTAAGCTACATGTGTCCTGCAAAAAACATACTATGAAATCTGAAATGATGAGGGACATGTTAGTGCGTGCCTATTTTACAGAATCAGGTAGTGTTTTAAAGTTCCTTTTTAGTAAACATTATTTTTAGTAGTTAAAAATGATCAGCAAGACTTCAGCTAGAGCTATAGACAAGTCACACGGTTTCTGTGAGCTGTTTTGAGGAATTACCGGCTTTTTGTTTTCCTTCCGCATTCTGTAGGAAGAGAACAACTCGCCTCTCACTGGGGACTTAGGTAGAACATGAGTGTGCGTCTCTCTCTCTAGCTCATATTGGAGTGGAATGCTACGCTTTTTCAGATTGTTTTAAAGTCTTCTACTGTCTTTACATAGAAAATCCAAGATTGTAAAATTGCCTAGTTCAGCTACTTAACTGCCATTGAAGAATAAAATCCATTATGCTAAAATGATGAAATTTTGCAGTCCAGAACTTCCCATTTCTTCTAGACTCACTAGAAAGTGAACGTGATTGCTGTGCAAAGTCCTTCCTCACTCTCCGTCTTTGCAGAAAATTTCTTCAGCTCCAGAAGCCACTTTTTTCCCCAAAATTTTCGTCTGGGAAAACTCGCAATACGTATCTCAGAACGGTCATTCTTTCTATAGCTGTAACGTAGCAGCGTCTCCGCAGGGTGCTTACCTGCCTGCTCGTGGGTGTGTTCTCATACTCGGTTGTAATTAGCTATCTCTATGCTTATTAAGGTGTGTGTCCTAACTTGATGCTCAGGGAAACATACTGTGTATCTTTATGTTCTGATCGATACTTTCCTCATTCGTCCTTCCAGTACCTTCCTAAGAGACATCGTGTATTTATTAACAAATGGTTGCTTTCTCCTTCTAGCTGTACTGCCAATTTGTTTGTCAAAATCCTTGTTTTCTCTAATACTATCTAATTACTATCTACAAACCCTGGTTAAAATATACAGCTTCTTATTTTACGTACGTGACTTACAGTTGAGTACTAAAAGGCAGTACTTCTTAATCATGCATGCTTTGATGTCCTGTTGATTTGCTTAAAATCTGCTGTCTCTCTGAAAGAACGGGAAGGCCGTCTCTCTCGGATGAGGTGGACGCTCAGTGCAGGGCAGGAGTTCCGTCAGTGAAAGTCTGTATGGTGTTTGGTATAATACCTGAGAGAATGAGTTAGCATTGATTTTTAAATTCTTGTTTATTGACTTTGAAATACAACAGAGAACAAAACTTTCCATGAATAACAGTCTGGGAGTTAGATTAGTCTGTGTTTAGAAAGGTCCAAAGAATTGGACGTGAGAAGTATTCCTATTAGTAGGGCTAGGGCTGGGAGGGGATTTATAGATAGAGTATCATTTTTTAGTGGGTGGCAGACAGGCGCAACGTTCCGAGAAGTGCCCGCTAACTTTGTGCTCATTTTGAGAAAGTTTGGTGTTAATCTGAGGTACTAGGGCTCTAGTCTCAGTGGAGCGTGTATGATAACGTGCTTACTCTTTCAGCGTAACACAGTTCCTGCTTGTCAGCCCAAATCGTACAATCAATTAGAATAAAGTACCCCAAACAGTCAACAGATTACGTATACATACAGATTTCTGATTCTGATTATTTACCTTGTCATTTTAAAATTCCTAGTTTTGTACCCATGGAGTCCCTGTTCTCACAGACATGAAGGATGTAACTTATTTGATAAGAAAGCTGAAATTCTCATGTAACAGAAAGTTTTCAAGATGTAAGGCTTTTTGAAACTTACAATTAAATGGAAGTCAAAAGATGTAATCTGTCGAGCTGGTAATATTACTTATGCACTTCATAAAGGATTTAAAAGTCTTAATTATTTTTGAAAGTCTGAACTGGTTTGAAATAAAAAATGAAAGCCAACTGAGGAGGAGTTTTATCTCATCGCTTGCTAATATGCAAAAAGAATACTGCTTCAAAATGGATGCACCCTTTTCTGACACTGCTTTTGGGTGACTGGAAGAAGTTGGAAGGGGTTTGTTTAGTTGGTCTTTTCCACCTTTTTCGGAGCTGTGAATGTGTGTACGCTTACAAACGAGACTTGGTTCAGCCCATCGCTGGTCTTTGCAGTGACATCTACTGGGCTGCTTCTGCAGCTCTGTATGAACAGCTAATGGTAACGGGAGCTGCCGCTGGTAGAGGTCTGCCTGCTCTGACCTCCTTATTTAAACGCCTTCTCTAGCATTTCTACCGCATCTGTGATGTGAATGTTCTTTATGTGTCTCTGTACTTGTGGGCAAGCCCTTTAATTTGCCATTTTCTTAAATGCTTATAGACTGAAGACCCAACCATGGAAAGGCCATACACATTTAAGGATTTCCTTCTCAGACCAAGAAGGTGAGGGAGAGGACCTTCGTATTTAAAAACATTTCTTACTTCAAGGTTTGTTATTTAGCCACTGTTTAAGGGTTGTTGAATGAAATGTACCTCCTTGTGTTCTAGCCACAAATCTCGTGTAAAGGGTTTTTTGAGACTGAAGATGGCTTATATGCCTAAAAATGGTGGCCAGGAGGAAGAAAACAGTGATCAAAGGGATGAATCTGAGGTAAGGCTTAATGCTTGTAGAAGCATTAGAGTTATTAGAGATTCAAGTATAATTGTGGAAAAAGTAGTACCTTTGAAAGATAAAACCCTGGTAGCAGTGTTAGTAGCAGCTTACTCTCCTCCCCTCAGCTTTCTTTTTTTTTCTCTTTTTCTTCTGTAACTTAGTGTTTTCTCAACCATTTCAAGTATTTCAAAGTATTTCAGCTGCCACAGTGAATTCTAAAGTCTGTCTGACTCAGTTTGTGAGCAGGTGGAAGTCAGAAAGTCTATGCAAGTAATTTGTAAACATAATGGTCTGTATTAGGTACCTCTTCTTCAGAGGCCATTTCAGAATAGGTGTTAACATTTTTCTTTATTTCCTTGGCAGCGTTGACTTCGCAGACAGTAAAGCTCATGCAAGCACAGCAGGTTTAAAGACTTCTCAGCACTCTTATCAGCCATCAGCCATTTTAAGAATTAGCTGCAATTAGAGCTGACAGAGCGAACGTCAGCCCAAGTTTGCCTTACTAATCGTGTGCAGCAGTCATCTCTAACTAGGGAATGAGGGCTCTCGTCCCAAGCCATACATCTCCAAGTTCAAAGTTAGCAGTTGGTTCTCTTTGGCTTCTTGACTGGGAATCTGCACCTGGCCATCACTAGAATGAGCAACCACCCAAATATGGTTGGGAATCCCAGTTGTAATGGACTGATGGGATTTTAGGTTTCATATCATTGAAGTGAGGCGCACACTGTAACCACAGAGCTTATTCTATTTCTTTATGGTTTACATTTAAGTAATTTTGAACTCGTCTTTGGAAAATTTTCAGAATTTGTACCTGTATGCTGATGTAAGCAACAATGAAATAACTTCTCTTGAACTTTAAAATTTTTACAATTTCTTTTTCTTTTTTTTTTTTTCCCCCCTTTTTTCATTCCTAAGCATGGATGGGATGTGGTGGATTCCAATGACTCCGCATCTCAACGTCAGGAGGAGTTACCACCTCCTCCACTGCCTCCTGGATGGGAAGAAAAGGTGGACAACCTGGGGCGGACTTACTACGTCAACCATAACAACAGGACTACTCAGTGGCATCGACCAAGTTTAATGTAAGTGGCAGTGTAGTGCAATGTTTTGTGGACGTGTGCACAATTATCAATAAGTAGTGATTTTTTCCAACAAACATAACGATTTTGAATTTACAAATTGAAGGCTAGAAAAAGTCTTAAGCAAGACTTTGATAAAGCAGTTTATAAAGGAACAGTATTCTTTTTCAGTAACAGATTAATTATGATTTTGGTGCTAACTGTGCTACATATATGAAACTATTCATGGAAAAATTTTCGCAAATGTGCTAATAAATTGAGAACAAAAACCTGGACATCTTCAGTTAAAAAGGAAACTTTAAAAAAAAAAAAATAAAAAAAGAATGGGAAGAGACTTCCCCACCCCCAGCAAATCACATGTACACATTGGGTATTCTGGGAAATTCTAGGAAACCTGAAGGGGTGGGAGGGAAGTCACTGCATTAACAATGTACCTTAGAATACTGGGAGACAGATATGGAATTTTTCAGTAAGTAATTTAACAGGAATAAATTACTTTCTTCTGTAGAGACTGTTGAAAAGGTGAGGAAAAAAGTAGTCAACTCTTAAGTTTTAATTAAGTTAAACTGATTAACTTTGAGGAGATCCTGATTATTATTCAGTGTATAGACTCTGTACCTATGTACACTGCTTGTGGTTATGTGGAGTTGCTGTTCAAGCCTTCATTATACGTTTCTTATGATTAGATTTATAAAGCTGTGGCAAGCTTACATTTTAAAAAGTACATATAATTGACAACGTTAAGAGGATACTGAAATCATGTATTAGGTAAACATCTTGCATTATTGTTATGTAGTGACTAATCTTCCACTATTGTTTATTACAATAGTAATGGTTATTCTTTCTTGAATATTCATAACCATAGCTAAATTGCACAAATGTCTGTTGTCCTTCCTTAAGGCGCTATTTGTTCTTCTTGTCTGATGCGTTTATCTTAGAACTGAATTAAATTTTGTTCTGTATCTTTTGAACTATTTGAGCTATTTACTAAGCAATGTGTATTTTGTCAAGTGAATCTCATTAACTACCATCATTATGATTGGTAACAGTCAATAAGTGTCTATAAAAAAAAGCAGGTTTTATAAATGATTTGATTTAGCACCTCCTTGTAATCCAATTACGCTAAATGAAGTCAAGAGTACATGGATTCAGAAATGTTTGACTGGCAGATACCAAAAAGTAATCATCACTAGAAAGCATCATCCTCAGATGGGTATATAAAATGAAGGCCTCAGGGGTTTGCTTTTAGCTAGGTATCATCACAGGTAGTTTGGAAACAAATGCATAATTACTACTGATAAACTCTATACATGACACCAGGATTGGTGAAGAGTGAAGACTTTAGAATGATGCTCTTTAGCCTTTAAATTCTATGAATTTATGAAACCACTAGGACCAGAAGGTCTCATGAGGTTGAAAGTAGGATATATAACCTCTGACTTTTAGGCTAGTAACTCAGATGCTAAGTTAGTCACCAAGGAAAAACACTGAATGCTGCGCGGTGCATGTCTGCAGTAGGAAGATGAGAGTAGTGCATTTCTCGTAGTTCTTTAAAATGTGCAATGATGAAATGATTGCACAGAGAAGTTTTTCCTGAACATAACCATCTTTCAAAGTTACAGTCCCTCATCCTGAAGGAGAGGTTCAAATACAATACTGCCTTCTAACAGCATCTGCCCATTGAGTACTGCAATAGAGATCTATATGTAGCTGTGCACACGGAGAAGTCCCACAAGCCAGGCAGGTCTCCATTAAGGGAACTGGGGTATTTCCCATTTCCACCACTGCTGGCGTGAGCCACGCTAGTGGTTGCAGCCAGTCAAAAAGCTATCCATTCCACAGCAGCTTGGATTTGCTTTGGCTATCAAAAAAAGGAAAGCAATAGTTGACATAAAGACAGGGGCAAAGGTAAAGACATAAAGACGGGGCAAAGGTAGAATCTCGGGGTGAGGAATGATTCTGGTCATCACAGGAAAGGATGAGTAATGATAGGTTAGTATATTGGAGCATGGACTTCCATCTCTGCTCGCCCAGCTTTGATGGATAAAGAATGTTAATTTCCATTGTTACATGACATTTGTGAAGTGCTTCCGGTTTTATTTACTTTGGATCGAGGGGTTAAACGGTCTCCTGTTTATGAAGCCTGACATATGCAAAAATAATGATTTTTTTGTAATCAAAAGCATTAATGAGGTTTTGAAAGCAATGGACAAAGTAGGTGTTTTAGTTTAACATTCATTGTTTTCTTGTTCTTTCCTCCTTCCCATGCTTCCGTTTCCCCGCTATCCAGTGACGTGGGATCTGATTCAGATAACAATATCAGACAAATAAACCAAGAAGCAGCCCATAGGCGGTTCCGCTCTCGGAGACACATTAGTGAGGATTTGGAACCAGAACCTATGGAGATTGGAGACATTCCTGAGGTATGTAAAGGTCTTGGTTTTAAGAAGTTGACTAAATTTCAAGCTGATGTGTTCCTCATTTGTAAGCTAATTACTATACAGTATATGTAGTGATGTTTTTACATGGTGTTTATGGAAATAGCCCAAGTAAAATACCAGTGACCCAATAAAAATCCTAAACAGAGCTATACTTTCGGGGACCCGTGCATTTGTGGGTGCCTGATAATGTATGCACAATATTAAATACTATACAAATGCTGGGAGAAACATTTATAATTCCAGGCATTGTTATTATCTACATTGACAGAAACACTTTCAATATTCTGCTTTGAATAACAGTGAGTCGTAAAAAGAAGGGAAACATACTGGCTGGAACTGCCTGTACTTCAATTTTCTTAGTGTCTTGATTTAGAGGAAAGAGAAGCTGTTGGGTTTTTTCCTAAAATACTTGCTTTTAGTTAGAATTCTGAGATCTTATTAATCAGGGTGAGTGTTTGTTTAATTTATAGCTAGACTAAATAAATTAAATTTGGTGGATATTTGTAGGCCTAAGTGAGAGTTTGTGCAAAGCTCGAATCCGATTGAACTTTAAGGAATATTTTATTATGTGAATCACAGACAAAATTCTTTGTGAAAGCTAGTTCAGGTTCGCTAAATGTTATTCTGAGCAACAAATAGATTTCTGAAACTATTGTTGCACTCGTCACCTGTTAATATTTGACTTGCAGATACTAATGAGTCCTTTCTATTATGCGTTTTATTCTGAATTAAAATTAGCAGTTGTTTCTTACAAGTTTTAGTAAGAGTGCAGAATTAGTTACGTTTTGAACAAAATTTCAAATAGAATCTATTTAATGAGAGCACTTTTTTATGCATCTTTTCATCTACATCATTTTCTGTGTTGAATTGTAAAGCATTGTGTCATCATCAACGTAAAAACCATTTTGAAGTCAACATGAAAGCCATTTTTCCCTGTGACTACTTCACACCGAGTGGAGTGTTTGTTTGTGTGTTCTAGGGATTGGTTTATTTTGTTAAATATTAAGGCTGATTATCACACCTGTGTTTGCGGCAATGAGGTGGTCACATAGAAGGCAAAGGGAAAGAAGACTCTATCTGTCTTTATAAATCCTTAACGTAGTTTCTTCTCTTTTGTTAGCCTTGGGAAACCATTTCAGAGGAGGCAAGTGCAAGTGGAGATTCCTTAAGCTTGTCATTGCCACCTCCTCCTGCATCTCCAGTATCCCGTACCAGTCCTCAGGAGCTATCTGAGGAACTGAGCAGAAGACTTCAGGTCACTCCTGATTCCAATGGGGAACAACTCAGTTCTTTGATTGTACGTGACATGCTGCTCTTGCTATATAAACCTCTGTTACTGTAATCTTCTGTTAGTTTGACCTAATCTGAATCATTTACACAGATGGGTAGTAATTGCTGGTCTCGGGAAAACCCGAGCATACCGTTAAAATTATCTTCCAAAAAATGCATCATAATTTCACCGTTGAGCAAACTGCCTTGAACAACAGAATTCCTCAGTTTAGATTTAATGTTTTCATCTGTGAGTTTAACTTCAGACTCTGCTACTGCTATACCTTTAGTGAAACAAAATATGTAATACTAGAGAGTATCGAGCTAAGAATTCCCAAAGGAAGGAGGAAGAACGGCTAATGCTCTTTCAGTCATCATCCATTTTACTACATGATAATTTTTCTTAAGTTCAGTATTTTAACTGCACATGTCTATATTAAAGCATGTGCTTTCTTATATTAGGATTTTATAAAGCCCTCATGGTTTACTGGATTAACTATTATAAACTAACAAATTATTAGAGTTGAAAGTAGGTGGTTCTGGTGAAATCCTCCATAAGTTTTTAAGTGTCTAGTCTGGAAAAAAATTGTCTCTCACCATAAGAGTTTACTTGAGGTAAAGCTAAAAATTGTTCTCTATACTTGTGTTATCCAGTAGTTTGTCAGACTGATGATACCACAAAAAATAACGATAATACACTTGCAAGTGCAAGAATGTCTTATGTCTGTCTTGATTACGAAAAACAATTGTAAGTTTTAAACAGAACATCGTGCTGCGATTTATTCTTTTTTTTTTAATTCTTGGTATATGCCATCAAGGTACCTTTGCAATTCAAGAGATAAGAAATTATATTTACTCTTGTTCTGATTAAATAGGATCTTGATTAGGTGCAAGTTTTTCACAAAGAGCTTATGCAATAGGTGTCTTATAATGATTTGTATGTTATCTAGAGTTAGTTAGCAAATTACAGCTCTGATGGCTAACCCCGTGCGTAAAGAGTCACTTGTGCTTTTGTAGATAACTGCAGCTTTTAGTAGACCTTCGCTTGGAGGGCAGGAGGTTAATCAAATAGTTTCAGTGGCAAGATTAGGGCCTACGTTTTTTTACACCAAAAATAATAAATAAATGGTATAGCTGCAAAGTTATCTTAATTAAAATAATTCAATAATATATTCCTATGCAAACTAGCTTTTTTATGAGCCACTGAGTGATAACATCTTCCCTACCCGTGCAATGAAAATTACAATCAGACTGCACTTGCAAAGAAAGAAATTGTCAAAGCCTTTAAAATCCCTGTTACTGTGCATTATCCAGTGTCAGAGGCTGTTGGCGCACTGAAAGTAGCAGAAGAAACCAGACAGTGAAATTCCTGTAAGATGCCACGCTGAGGCCCCCAGAAGTCTGCAAGCAGAGACTGAGTGGTCAGCAGTGCTTAGCGTGCAGCCTCAGCGTGTCTGCCAAGGCAGCTCACGTCTCCGCTGTGCCTCCCACAGCTCTGGCCTCTCTGAGGGCTCGCTGGCCTGACCCAGCATGTAAGTCTGAGCTGGTTCCATGGGAATGAACAGTGCTTACCCCGGGCTAATCAATCCTCCCAGTTTGGAGGTTGGCAAGCACAGTGCAGAGACATCCAAGAGCTTCATCTGGATTGAGCCGGGTCGGCAGGAAAAGTTTGGCACTTCCAGCTGAGCACAAGCTACGATCCATGTGCTCAGGTGCGTCCACGTGACGTTTCCTCTTGATCCAGATTCCCAAAGGCTTGTGAGATCAGCTTCATGACTTTGCGTGGAGGAAGCTTTTCCCAAACCCACTAACTCTAAACTGGCTTTACATAAAGCTGGCCCCCGTCTGCAGGTTGTGGGCTGAAACTAGAAGCCCTTACAGTTGCTTTTCCCCAACAGCGTGCCTGTACTGGTATATCCAGCCTGACCTTCGAGTGGTTTACTCAGAGACAGCTTCAGTGTCTCTACATCCATACGTAATTAATCTACAACACAGCTAAATTGCCAACAGATAGTTGAGGAGTGATTGTGTGTGTGTTAAGGTATTTTGTCACTCTCCTCGTGTATCTGTGTAATGCCAGAAAACACTTCAGACTTGCTGGTCAATGCATTTGTCAGACAAATCCTTTCACATTAATCTTTAGCATAACATAGAAGCAAGGTGTAATTATGTCTTTTTTTCTATATTTTTTTTTTAAACACTGATATTTTAACAGAATGTGCTCTTAGGGCTGATGTTTTCAAGTAAGAGTTGGGGTTTCTGATACGCCTCTCAAATAGTTTGCTTCGTGGTGTTGCTTCGTTATCTTTCAGTGATACATAAGGGTGCCCGTGTGAGTGGCTATAAATAGGCTAGGTCATTTGCTTGTTTATTAGTGCATTCGTACTCGTACCGTTAATATCCAGAAAAGGGTAATGCTAGTTACTCTTCGATTAAAGATGAGGTATCAGCTATGCAAAATAATAAGTTTAAGAATTACCCAAGGCTTGTTTCTGTACATGGAACTTAGAGTGTCAATCAAACCACACAGAAAAGCTGTGTAAGAAAATGCATTTGAAGTGAAATGCTGTTTAGATGCTGATTGATTTTATTGAATACTGTATAGGTACTGTATTTTATTGAATACTGGTCAGCCCCAAAGTGGTCAAGCAGTTGGACAAGATGGTCCTTGTAGGTCCCTTCCAACCGAAATACTCTATTCATGGCTTTCCTTGCTGCCAGCTCTCATGACTACAGTATCTGTCTGGGTTTTTTTCTTTTTTTTTTTTTCATTATATGGGATTTCTAATGAGTAACAAAAAATGATGGCTGATGCCATGCCTAATGTCTTCTAGATGTCTTGGTACCAGCTATGGGAATATTTCAAATTTACTGTAATGCTGACGTGTTTGTTATGTTGGACTACACCTGGTAGACCAGGTATTAATGCTGCAGGGCAATGGCTGCTGACTGATGTCGGCAGAACATTAGTTCCTTCTTCAGTATAAAGAACATGAGCATGGCACATTACTTCCTTCTGAAACATTTTTTAATTGGGTAGCAAATGTCTTGTTAAGTAAAAGCTGAAATTATCTTTGGACGTCTTCCTTGTAATTTGGGGATGTGAAGAAGCCTCTGTGGCTGAGTCCCAAAACCAATGTCGTAGCAAGTGGAAAATGTCATTATTGATCCTTGTCACGTGCTGTCCCTTTATAATCTGAGCCTGTCCCACATGGAATGGAATTCAGTCACTTGACACCACTGTGCTTTATCACCTTATTTTTGATACATCTCACAGGTTTGTGAGGAATTACATTTTAGTATCAAGCAGGCATGCTAGCATATCTGCTTTTTTTAGGGCTTTTTTGTTTCTGATTCATGATCGTGGAAGAAGTGTCTTGGGAAGTTCAAAAACTACAAGGCAAAGAAGAAAATTAAGGCTTGATTTTTTAAAAAGAAATACCGTAAATTTTTAAGTACATAAATTTTTAAGACTTTGAGGTCTCATCCATAGTATTTGATTTGGGATTTGGTTTTTAATGCCTGATTTTTGTCAATAATGCATGCCATCTGTGAATTTCACCATGAGGTAATGAAAACCGAGGAGAAGCATTCACTCCTTGAAGAGCTGTATTACAGCCTCAGTTTTCATTGCGATGTCTGTTTTAAAGAGAAGTGTCATGTGCATAATTTTTGGCTAAGAAACAATGTTCTTAGCTTAATTGTTTGGATTTTTTTCCTTCCCTCTTATAATTTTTTCTTGCTGGACAACTTGGCCTGCTTTTATGTTAAGATTTCCCGTCACTTACAAAATCATGTGGGACAGGATTTTTAACGTAAGAGTTGCCCTTTCTTATTTGACCTTTCCAAAGAAATTCAGAGCAATTCACCTGATCCTCACTGGGTTCAAACCAGAATTCCTGGAGCCAGGATTTTGACCTGGGGTAATGCTGCTGCATTCTGCCACTGGTTTTATCGTCGTAGGGGAAAAAAAAATCGCATCTTTTTCCTATCAGAATTTGTTCACGTTGACGTTTCTGCTTTAGTAAAATGAATGAGCCCTTTTTTTATAATATATATGAAGGGTCACTGTCAACAGAGAAATTATATATACCACTAGCTGGTAAAATAGAAGGAGATACTAATATTGTTACAAAGAGGTTTGTCCCTGTAAAACATAAGTGATCTGTCGAGTAATTGGGTATATTCTAATGTCCTTTTCTTTTGGTATTATTTCTATTATATTTATAGGTGCCCTAATGATCATTACAATATAGAGTTCTATCTCTAGCAATTAGTTTGGTTTCATATGAAATTTCTGGATTAACTCCAGCCAGCAAACTTCTGAGCACTTCTCTGTCATTTGTTAAACAGCAAACTTTAAAGCTGCTGTTATTACTGAAGAATAAGCTAAGCATCATGTACTGAGATGCAGATTTGGAAATTATTAATATGCCAAGAGACAATCTCAGCAAGGCTCCCGCCGTGGCTGTAATCCCAGAGAAAGTTCTGCAGAACTTGCTGCTTTCCCAGCCACAGGCTCGGGATGTCGTAGACACGAGAACCACGTAATCGTCCCCCGCGTAGGACTGGCATCCTCTCCTGCCCCTGCGCAAGTAACGAACGCAGGGCTTAACTGGGGCAGTAAGCCGCGTGTAGAAGTTTGTTAACTCTAGCCTGTTGATTCTCCAAGGACCGCAGTGCCAGTATTCAGCCAGTTTTACATTTTCCTTATACTGCTTGTGCTCCCGCCACGTTCTCTAAAACGTCTTCCAAAGATACTTGAAAATAGTTTCCCAAAAGTTCCATGGCATTTTCATGTCCCGTTATGTCTTTAGTTAATCTTCCCCTTTACTGCTGATTCCACAACAGTTAATTTTCCCACATGTTTTCCCAGATGGGATGGCCTATCCTCTTCTCCTAGATTAGGTCAATAAAGCATTGTAACTTGGATGCTAGAGATGAGTACAAGACGTGTACCCAAGTACTTTCCTTTTCTCAGTTAATCTGAAACAGTCCAGGATGGAATGCTGAGAATTTAGATTTTTCATTGCTTGCCGTGTTTCTGTAGAAGTATTAAAACTAAAGACGCTGCAACATAAATATTTTTAGGGGTTTGGATTAAATGGGTTAAGAGTAAAGTTACTGAAAAAAAGTCCATTTTTTAAGACACCTTAACTTAAAGACGTCTGTCTGTTTTTTTTGTTTCCAGCAAAGAGATCCTTCTTCAAGATTAAGATCTTGCAGTGTAACAGATACGGTTGCTGAACAGTCTCAGTTATCCTTGGTAAGCCAAAGCTAACTTCTGTTTCTTTCTTTTTGTTTCAACATTCTCTGATTCTGAATAATACCTTCTCTTAGGTCAGTTCCAGTCAGGTACAGAACAGTAACCAGTATGGGCATATGACTATCCCAAATAGTAATGGATACCAAATTAATATCATCATGGTCAGCAACTAAACATTCATGAGAGAGAACAATGTTTTGAGACTGAGAGCATAGTCACACTAACTTTAGTTATCTGGCATAGAAATTGTTTACTAAACTGTAGATATATAGTCAGTGGAGAGAGAACATCCTCCAAGGGGAAGGAGAGGGCAGCAGCACCATCTACAGTTGGAACTGTAGCAGCCACAGGACTCTCCTATCAGGTATATCTTTGTGTCCTGTAAATTGATTTTACTTGGAATATATAAATCTGTATAACGTTAAAAAAGTCTGGTGTTTTACCTAGCTGTAGTTAAAAGGAGCCTTTTTGTGATAGTCCTTGTACGGTAGAACTGAATAGAATTGCATCTGCTGTAGTTTTTTAATCTCAGTGATTTAGCTAAGCGGCTGCTTCTGCAGTTTTATTTAAGTAGATTCTTCAAACAGGAAAAGATACAAAGATTTTTTTTTAAAAAACAAGATTCTCTCTCACATCATAACCGTGCACACCTTTGATCTAATTGATAGAAAGTTCTACCTATTTTGTCCTACAACCCAAGTATGAGGATTGCAAATGTAGTAAGCTAGAGAGAGACTACTTAAAATAGGATTGTGCAAGATATGCTTTTGAATAAAAGTGTTCAGATTTTCAAAATAATTTAATATTTTTAAAAATTATACTTTTCTTGCAGGATTTTTTTTGCCAATTTTTAATTGGAAATATTACATATATATGTATTTTACATATGAATCTACAAATAGCAAATTTGCCTATTTTTTAATGGAAATATTGAGTAAATACCGTACATCAATAAGTTTGTCATTAAAGCTGATGTCTCTCCTTTGCTTGTTCTCTCTGTCGCTCTTGGGCAGACATTTACAATAACCATAGTGGTCTTTGTTTAGTTTTTTCACATGTTCTAGAAGTTGTTTCGTGTGCCTACATTTGCTGCTTACAGATGCATGTAATAGCTGTTGTTCAAAGAACGGCTTCTGAAGTATTATCCCTCTTTGCTTCTCTCTTCTGGGTAAACAATGGTGTGGTTTCCAGTCCAGTTACACCTTAACTGTCCTCTCTCTCTACTAGACACAGTTGTCTCCTAATGCAGTCTGTTCCAGAGGTGTTCTGCTTCTTCATTTCATATCGCTTACATTCTGATTCTGGGCTTCTTATCACTTTACGGAGTCGGGGTTTCTTTAACTGATGTAGTCAGATTGGGATTGGTGATATATCTTTCACTTTATTATTGTAGAACACTCATTTCATTAGCAAATGCTCAAAACAGCAGAATTGAAGGCATTGCTCTGAAACAAGATTGTTACCTGATTGTAATCACATTTAATCCTTACTAAGCTAATGATAATTTATCTTCTTGCAACTAAATACATACTTTCCTTCTAAATGCAGTGCTGTTCTTGACTGTTTAATCATTACTGAAAATTCAAAGTCCCAGTTCCATCTTTTTCGCCTGACTTTTTCTGTGCACTCAGTGATGACCAGAATGTATCCATTTTGGTTTTAAATACCATGTTTGTGGGCGGAACACGCAAAATTTGTTTGGGGAAAGAAAAAATAATAAGATCATGTTACATGTAGAGTAAATGTTCTTATGATTAGCAATACTGAACATATAGAATTGGATACAAGAACTCTTGAAATTAGTTCCCTTGGTGGTTTTTGTATGAGATTCTGACTTGGTTATCAGTGATTGATGACTCAGTTTTTTGCTATTATCTTAAACATTATTTCCATCTAATTGCTCTCTTTTAATAAATTTGAGTGTCTGTGATTCCTTACTCCTAAAGATGTGATGGTAATCTGTGACCTTCATCACTAAATATACTTATCTGTAACATTAATTATCATTTAACAGCAGAGTGGTCCATCTAGGAGAGCTCGTTCTTCAACTGTCACAGGTGGTGAGGAACCAACGGTAATAATACTCTTTATCAAGTGCTATCTCTAAATAAAATGTGGGTACATTTAGGTCTTGTACAACAAAGAACTTCTTTTCACAAAGCAGCAGTGTGTTGAATGAAGTACAGCCACTGAATCAATAGTTACATTTCTTTGTAGCCTTTCAAATTGCCTCAAAATTTCTCAAAACACTGCAATTTCACTCAAATACTAGCATGTTTTAACGATGTGGATATGCCACTGAGTTCTAATAAAGTCGTGCACTAAGGAAATACCTCAGGGTTCTGAAAAATGAATGATACAATACCTAATTCTTTAAAAACGGATATTGAAAGACTCGGGGATTAGAGACGTCAAATCAGTATACATGTAGCTGTGTTTTTAGCTTGCTTCTGGCTTCCCTTACTCTCCATTAGACTAATTCATTTTAATTCTTAAAGTTCATCTTAATTTGAGAATCGTGGAGGTACAGTGATATATCATATCATCCTTAATGGTCTTATTTAGTGCCAGTTTTCATTTTCCAGTAGTTGTTCAGCAGTCCAAGGCTGAATTTTTACTTTGATCATCAAATAAAATTCTGGAAGTGCTTTTCTGAAAGCGTAATACAAGGAAAGTGGTTTTAATTTATATTGGACTTTGTCAAAAACATCCCATTCTTTTTTAACCTGATTAAATGTCAGTCTTGGAGCAAGTTATTTCACAGAAATCATTTTACAGTAACTCTCGTAATAGCTTTTATGAATATATGGGCTCCTACATAATTTGTTTCAGGGAAAGAAATACGATTTAGATGTGGTGTGTTTGCTGTTCGTATGTGGTAATGTCGGATCTTAATTTGGGTGTTGATGCATCAAACATCGTCTGTGGACTGTTGTCAGACCACTTGCTGCGGCCTTATTGACCACTGATGAATGGTCTGGAACCCATCAGGACAGTCCTGGGAAGGGTAGCCTCCTGACCGTTGCCTGCCAGCTCTGTGAACTAAGTGGAGCGGGGAACAATAGCATAGTCTTTCCAGCACTTGACTGTTCAGGAAGGAAAGAAATCAAGAGTCTCGTCGTTTGTTTCAGTGGGTATTACTTAGTTTCCTCATCTGTTTTCCTCTGTTTTGTACTTCCTATTGTAGTATGTCACCTTTCTGACCCATTCCGTGTCTTTTCTCATTTCCTTTCTTGATTATCTAGGCAGTCTCCAGTTCAGTGTGTCAAGTATGCTCTTCTCTTAAAAAGCAAATATACTGACTTAAGCAAGAGTCCTGGAACAGAGGTCTTAAGAATATGAAGCAAGAACAAGAATTACAGTTACTTACTTTGCTGGAGCAAAGAATGTAGAGTGTAGAAAAAGAATGTATCCTCAATTTCAGCCGGAGCCTTCAGAGGCCTAAAGAGAGTTACCAAATTCTACTGTGCAGTGTAATTCACGTCTTCGATCTTTGGGTAGTAATTTTCCACTGTATACATATTTTTAAATGGAATGATCATAAACCACAAATCACTGTTTTTAAGGACATGGGAAGAGTGACTTTTTTGCTTTTGCTTTGTGGTTAGTGTGGTGAATAAAGCTAAAGACGTAGAGACAGAGGCAGCTATCCAAGTAGCCTTAGTTGTGGCTTAATACTTCCCATGCCCGTAGGAGTCTGCATAGTGACTCAAAGCATGGGCAGTGTATACTTCAGGAAAAGAAAATATATTTTGTAGTAAGATGTAGAATACTTGCCCTGAGGAATCTGAGTAGTAAAATAAGGAAAAACAGTGAAACTCTTAGAGTTTACAATATTAATGAATGGATTGCAGGTATTGAACTGGAAACCGGAATCATACTTAGCCATCTAAGTTTTACTGATTAATTTTGCACTCACCCTATTCATCCTATGTATACTGTAAGAGATTATAGGTTTTTCTTATACTGTCAGCCATAATGCAGTTGCTAATGATTTTTTTTTTTTTAATCCGGCAAAAAAATATTTCCTTTAAATTAATATAAATTCAATATAATTAAAAATCAGTTTGTGATACTTCTCACATGACACTAAATTTCAGTCCTTTTAAGCTTTTACTGCTCCTTCTTTTACTGTTTCGTGGGGAAAAAATATAGCTTTGAGTGCATCAAACTCTGAATTCATGCATCTCGCTAATTCCACTTCAGTACAGTTTTGTAGTTCACCACTTCGGCATATATATATATATATATATTTCTTACATAGTGCTTGCATATATAATTTCATAGTGACTACTTCAGGTTTAAAATAAATTGAATATTAAAAGTACAGAGCCACAGGATAGAAACAAATGTTTTATCAGGCTACTTTTCAAAAAAATTTTAAAGAATGGTTTATTACAGATAGCCATGACAGGTAAGAGGAAGAACATATCCTGAATTCGCAGGAGGCCAATCTCAGTGTTTCTTTAGATGTTCACAGCAGTAGTATGGTAAGGTAGGAATAACACTTCTTCACAATGTGTTGGATTTTTAGTTTATTTACAAGGATTAGAAATTTTGATGTTAAACATACTTAGCCTTTTTTCATCAGAAGAATGGTCATTGTGCAGTTGTCGCTTCATCAGGAAGACTCCTTTCTAAAACTGGAAAGTTTAACAATTGGTTTATAACCTATGTGAAGGTATTTGGTAATTTTCAAGGCTGATTCTTCCCTTGGTTTTATTTTAAGATCATACTAAAAAAGTTGAAAGAGTCTTCCTTAAACATCTTTAATCTCTTACTCATGTGCACTGCTTTGTATTCCAACGTTCATTCCAGGTGCTCAGGGAATTCAATTTGCATTCCCCCAGTGAGAATGTAAGAGCTCGGAGCCGCGTATGAATGTTAGTACTTGGCAGGACTGTCTCCAGTCAGTCGTCTTTACCAAAATCATTTGCCCGTAGAGCTGGTCTCCTCTTGCCTGCACTGAGGCTGCTTGGCTATGAATCAGCCCTGAAACAGAAGCTGTGTTTCTGATGGTCATCTCAGATGTGGGCAAAATACTCAAAAAAGCAGAGGCACCTTTGCTTATGCTGAATTATTGATATCGTTACCGTGATACACGTGTCTCTACCTACAGTGGTTTAGCTCAGGCTCTCAAAGACAGGATGAAAGAAAACCCCGTACCTACCCCTACTTCATTGGCTTACCCATTCTCTTGATGTGAGGCTGAGACACAGGGCTCTCTTCAGAGGTTGTGCTAGTGATCAGCTCTTCCCAGCAATTCTTTTATACCTCTAATAAAAATATGGATGCTAAAATCATACTGTTACTGTGTAGTGCTGAATTTGTATTGACTTCCAAATTTGAAGTTGTCTCTCAGTAAAGTGACTCCTGTTATTAACAAAATGAGCTAAGACCGCACATGAAGTGGCAACAAAAGACGTAATGTACTGCACAGAACTGAAGCCTGTATGCTGTTTCTCCTTTATCTAGCACAGCAGCCCATCTTCTCCATGAGATGCCCTGGAATTGCAGCAGTGAAAATGATACACCTTCATGTTTGACGCATGATAACGTGTTTTCTGTGAAAAGACAGAATGAACGAAAGCATGACTGTAAATCAGAATGCTTTCCATTTCGGGCTTACCACCTAAAACAGGTTTTTTGGTGGTGGTGTTTTGTTTTGGTTTTTAACATAAAGAATATATTATTGTCTGAAATAAAGACATGCCTTTGACTCCTGCGGTAGGCAGTCGCCTTAAATATGTAGTCCGTTGTGAAGCAAATGGATTAATGAGCACTGGAGTAAATTGACCTTTAGAGCAAAGGACAGTTCATGGTATGCACGTGTTTCTTAGCCCTCTTCCCTTGTTACATCCAGTAACTGCCTGTTGTCAGACGTTTGGTTTTACAGTCAGTCAGTCTTCAAACCATGTTTTTAAATACAGCGTCCTGCTTCTTTCAGGAAAGTTCTTATAAAATACATCTTCTCTTTTCCAAGCAGTCTAAAAAGAGTTCATAAATCTTCTTGTAAGCAGCAAATTGCTGAGGGTGGAAGGGGCAGCAAGCAGGGCTGCTTTCTGCATCTTGGACGCTGATACCAGGCCTTTCTCTAGCTCAGATGTCAGAACCGTTTCTTCCCAGTCTGAACATTAACTTGCATCAGCTCAAGAACTTGCAGCATTACAGAAAATTTGATGTTCAGGTGCAACAAGCACAGTAAGTTTAGCAGTCCAAGTACAAGTTTTGCCTTTCTGTCTGCTGTGCAGTTCTACCTGTCAGCATTTAAACTTGAAGTTCTTTAAGGGCCAGTAGGTTCGCATTTTACGTCCATAAGAAAAATGCCATGTACATTGCTACAGCCTGTTCAGGGGAAACCATGATAAAAGCAGCCGGGTAGATGAAGGCAGTTTGGTTTGTTTTCTTGGCGCTACAAAGCTGCCTGTTTGTAAAGGCGTTAATGGTACTGATGATGAGTTAAAGCACTGCCCCAACTGCTAGGACAGTGCAGTTCAAGCACTGGTTTTTACTTTGTCACGTGATGAAGGCCTTTAGGTTTCATCATCCTTCTGCTATCAAGGCAGGTATTTTGAAAGAATGAAGCAATGTCTAGCGTCGTAGACTCCTGATAATTAATGTATGAATGTATATTTTAATGTGATTAATCTAATAATTAAACCAAATGCGTATTGATCCAAAGATCTAGACGTCGATACTGAAAAGCACCTTGCACGTGCCAAGTCTTCAATGCAACTATTAATGCATGGGCTTCATTAGAGACCAAAAGCACTGTCCTGCGGAGTTTAGGAGTTTGCTTCTGTCTGCTGTGAATGACAGAGATTCCTGTGTGTCTCTAGCTCTTAGTATTTACATCAATTACGTGAGAAGAACACCTATCCCGAGTTTTCTGACTTTCTTGTTTGCTTCGCTGCCAGCGAGGATACCCGTTCTTATTCCGTTACGCAAGCAGGTGATGTGGTGAGAGGAGTCCCAGACTAGAAGGTGACTCAGCTTAATAAACATGCAGATTTATGTAGAGGCTATGGTCTAAAAACTGTAACTCCCTGGGCACCCTCCCCTTCTAAAATATATATTCAGATGCAGACAGGGTCAGTGTTAAGAATGCTCTCTGGGCCGTTTTTCTTAAAGAAGCTCTTCCGTTTGTGCTACTATGCTTTTTTTTTTTTTCTTCCCCCCCCTCTATGTCCCAGGAAAAAATGGCCAATTGGTTCAAGCACTGAATATTTTCCACACAGAAAGTACACAAGACATCATCAGCAACACACAGCAATATAGTTGTTGTGTTGAATAGTGACATAACTTGTTTAATGACAGTTGGTGCCTTTGGCACAGTTATCGTTATCTGTATATTTTCGTTAGAACAATGTCTTTCTTGTGCAACTTCTAGTAAAAAAATCTTTTCACATCAAAGTTTGGGTTCCAATTTGGGGTGTGTCTTGTGTCTTCAGGACTCTTAACCCTAATGCAACATTTGTCACTGTAACAAAATGGTTGAACTTCAGGTTTTAGACCCACAATAGTTTCTTGCAACTGATTGAAGGCGCCCATGGTAAAGAAAAAACAGAACTTGGGAGATCTTGACTCGACTGCACAGTTACTTCAATTCTTACTTATCCATACTAATAAAAGGAAAAATCATTAAAACACAAAGTTCCTTTTTGTCATTATGTGTAATCTACAAAGTAAAAAGTTTGAGGGCATATAAGCTTAGCTGTTTTCTGAACAAGATACCTGAATCTGTGCAAAAGTGAATCAAAAGTTCTACCGTGAGAAAAAATTATTTGACTCAAAGGTACATGAAGAAGAGCTTATATTAAACGGAATCAGAAGCTGTATTTTTCTGTTTGTTGTGTTTAAGAATGTTGTAAGTTAACAAGTTCTTTTTTTTAAAACAACAGACTTATGACATTTTGTTTTAGCTATTATAAAATAACAATACAGTCATTTCTTGCTTGCACAGCCTTCAGTGGCCTATGTACATACTACACCAGGCTTACCTTCAGGCTGGGAAGAAAGAAAGGATGCGAAGGGACGCACGTATTATGTCAATCATAACAATCGAACCACAACATGGACGCGGCCCATTATGCAGGTATGAAGATCCGCTATAATGCTCAATTTAGACAGCAAACGCTTAGCACGTGTTGAGTATAATGTCAGCTGAAGCAGCTCTTTAGAACTCTGAAATTTAAAAAAAAAAAAAATCCTAAACATTGTCATGACAACTCAGGATAGTCATAAAAAATTGCAATGATTGGGATTTTTTTGTTACTTCTTTTAACTATATTAAGGTGCAGATTAAGTCGATTGCTACAATGGAAGGAATTTACAGAGAGGTACCTATGAACCAATGAAAGGAGTCAAATGCATTCTTAGGATTGAATCTGAAAGTTGTGTTGATCTATTAATAGTACCATACATTATTTGCCCTTCCAGTGGAATTACATAATTTTTTAAGTGTCCTAACTGTGTTTCTGACAACTTGCTAACTTGGTTTTCCTTGTGAAATAGCTTGCGGAAGATGGCATGGTTGGGTCAACAGCAAACAGCAGCAACCATTTAAGTGAACCCCAGATAAGGCGGCCTCGTAGCCTCAGTTCACCCACAGTAACTTTATCTGCTCCACTCGAGGTGAGAAACGCTGTTACCAACAAAGATCACTCATGTCTGACTTCTCATTCGTTGTAACTTCTTATTTCATTTTAGTTATGCAACACAGCCCCTTTTCCCTGTTACTGGTTTTGCCATAAAACATTGCTGTTTCCTTTAGCAGTTTTCTGTCCGGTTCTTGATATTGTACAACAGTATTGCTTAACTTTTGTGGTCATTGAATGATGTAATATATATGGGATTATTTAGTTTGGTCAGCTAAAATGTAATCTGTGTGCATGCCTGAAACACGCGTTGTGACTCCAAGTGCTCTTAATGTATAAAATCAGAATTTTTTTTTTAAGTTGAAACATTCATTGTGATGCTGGTAACTTTGAAAATAATACATGCAACTGAGTTTGGCAACTCTTTGAATTAAGATACTGATTGCGTTTTATATTCCTTGTCTTTCAAAAGGACATTTAATTTCTTTTAAGTATCTTTAAAAGTCATTCAGAATACTGTTGAATGATGTTCATTTATATGCGTATACTGCGTAAGAAACGCAATCAAAGACGATGTGTGTTTTACTTCTGAAGGTGTGATTAAAACTCCTGAATCCGTTAAACATGGCTGTGTTGAGGAGAGTAAATTCTTAAGAATTTCTTCTTCAAACAAGAATTTCTTCTTCAAATGGCACCTTATTTATCCTTCCTTCTCACCGTCTCTTTCCTACTTGTGTCCCCTTTGCCCCTGCAAAAGTTTGCCAAGAGTCAAGTGGAGATTGTAACATTTAGTTTATTTTATGCATCCTTATTCTTTGTTCCTTATGCTGAAAAGTACTCAAACTCTTGAGCAAATTGTTAAACAAAGGTGGGATTATTGGACAGATTGTAGTGAGGGGGATATAGTTTATATTTAAAATAAATTATCTCTACTTATAGGTAATTCAGATAAACCCTGTAACATTGAACTGCTTAAGATTACCCTTGCCATTGTTAATTTTGAAGACCAAATTTACTGTAATTTAAAAAAATTAAATTAGAAGCTTCTGAATATCCTAAACTTAAACATGAGGGGCATTCCTCTCCCTACTGACATTTCAAACAGTTGAGCTCAGTCACTGGCTAAGCATCTGAAAGTTGAGTTTCTCAGGGCGATAAGCTAGCTTTTAAGGGCAATAACCTATTCCATAGCTACAAAACCCGTTTTCTCGTCACTTCAGAATATTCAGCTAATCAGTTTGTTGGCTAGTTTGTTCAATGCTCAGAAACCACAAGGGTGCTGAAGAGTGCAAACTTATCTTCTCATACCCACCTCTGAACTCATTTTTTTTTTTCTTTAAAAAGTAAGGTGTAGACTTACTAATATTAAAATCTTAAAGGGTATAACCATGAGGAGAAAAAAAACAGTTCAACTTTTTAGAAGTTACTTCCTTTGTTTAAATAGTTATTTTATTGTAAAATGTTCCACTTTTTTGTGTACAAGACATATGGAAAGCTTTTACTTAATGCAAGCTCTTTCAAGTGCTGCTTTTGGACACTATAATCTAACTGCGTTTTCCATCCAAATGCAGCTCAAAACAAGCCACAAATAAGGCTAGAATAATTTTGTAAATATCCATGTTGGTGCCTCATTTTCTAATATAATACTCAAGAAATAGTAATTAAATGTAGGCTAAGTTAGCGAATTGCCAAAATAAGCATGCATGGATATACTGTACCTTAATAATTAGTAAAACAAGAACAACACAAACTGTTATGTCAGCTAATGAGAGCATGTTTTTGGAAAATAACTGAAAAGTACAAATGCAAACAAGATTTAAATGCAGTACTTAAGTCTTGTTTTCTGATTGTGATAGTCTGTATTTTCAAAAGTGAATAGATCTGGATCAGATTTTTCAAGCTGTTTAAGCATCTAAATGTGCAGTTTCCCAGTGACGGTAAAAAAAAAAACCAAACACATCACGTAACTCCTGTTTTTAACCCATAGGGATTGATCAGCGAAGCAGTTTTGTGGCTGTGATCATTTATTTAAAAAAACGAAACAAAAACCAAACCTGTCCAAAATCTGTAATTGCAAACCTTCGTTTATTTTTAGGAACTTGTTTTAAGTTCATATTTAAATGTTTTCTCTGAAGTTGTATTTGAGAAATGCACTGAAAAGTGGATAACATTGCTTCACGTTTAGGATACTCTCTTGTTGTAAAGTGAGATACATCGCACCATGAAGCGCGCAGCAACGCTTTTATTTTTTCCTTTGTAAAATGAAATATTGACGTGAACAGGGCAGCTGCAGTAAAATATATAATCAGATGTAAGTACTGCGGACATTACCATTGCAGAGGGAAGTGATGAAACACTGTGTCCAACACAGCAAAAAGCTCGGTATGTTATAAGGAGCAGACGTTAGCTAAGTTAGGAAATCAGTCCCAGCACTTAATTCTAGTATTAATTACACCTGGAATGAAAAACTCTTTGCTCTGATACCAAGTTGTACTCATTTTACAGTATTGAGTGACATCTGACAAATCTTAATACCTTTCATTTTTTTCAGGGTATCAAGGACTCCCCTGTGCGCAGAGCGGTGAAGGACACCCTCTCCAATCCACAGTCTCCACAGCCCTCACCTTACAACTCTCCTAAACCACAACACAAAGTTGCACAAAGCTTCCTTCCTCCTGGCTGGGAGATGCGAATAGCACCCAATGGCAGGCCCTTCTTCATTGATCACAATACTAAAACTACTACGTGGGTAAGACAAATTCTAGATAATGAATTTTTAAATCAGTTGCCATCTTTTAAATGTTTCTGTCTTTGTTTTCCTGCCTGTATACCCCCCAGTTCATTGTGGCATTTGTTTTGTCTTTAAGGGGGAATTTGTCAGCCTAACTTTTCATAAAACTGAGGTGGGAATCTCACGGAATTCCCCATGCAGTAACATACAGCAGCAGTAGACCCGAGTAGCTAATTTCATGGAATTACTGTAGCGCTGCCATTGCTGCGCTCAGAGAAAGGAAACTTATTTGTTCATATCCTCTTAGATTTTGGTGCATTTGTACGTCATATACCATGCGAGAGTGTTTTGCATTTTGTATTTGACCTTTCTATACTTGACAAATCATTGCATACAAGTACTGTCCTTTAAATTCCCCAAATCTGAGTTTTAGAGGCCTGCAGTGCAATGGAGATTTGGATTGTTGTCTAGTTTGAGACTGTCCATAATTGTATTGTAGTTCACTGTGACTAGCACTGCTTTTTTATTAATATAATGCATGTTCGTCTTCTTCAGTTAACAGAATCCATTTTATTATTTGGTTTATGTCATGAGGATCCATTTTTGAATAATTCTGCAACTTTGGTCAACAAATTGAAGAAATAAAATTACACTAGGAAAAAATGTCGAAGATGACCCAGCATTTCACATCACCATTTAAATACGAGTTGCACTTTGTGAGGCATCATTCAGATTCCCAGTGACCACTGTTTTCATGACATATTTTTAATGGTGGTTCTTAATGGTGTTCCCAGGTGCCTGTGGGTAAATTATGTGTGTGGAAATCTCAAGCATTTTTTTTGTCTAGATTTGTCTTCTGTGACCAATTTTACTTGCCCCTTTTTGCCTCGTTTGGATATTGATGTAATAATACCTGTGCATTCATAAAACTGTAAGAAGCTCGTTTTCATCCTTTTCAAGCCTTTTTGTGATAGGATGGCTTATTTCCCTTGTGTTTTTAAGAGCCAAAAAATGTGCATATGTATCTAAAAGCCACTTATGGGAGTGCATGCATTCCTAAGAATAGGGCTGTATTTTTTGAAGCATCTCTCTGGATGGAGCACACTTAATGAAGTCAGTCTTACAGCACCCTAACTAACTCTTAACATTTAAAAAATCATTTCAGTATATGAATCCTAATAAATGATGCGACACATCCAAATACTAAATGTTCCATCACTTTTATATGTTTTGTTTTATATGTTTTATTCTCAAAAAAAAAAAAAAAAAGAATGAAGGAATAACTGTAATGTAGGAAGATTTCTTTTCCAGATAATGCTGTGTTTGACTTAGTATGTAGATCTAACTTGATCTGTTGGATTTACAGTTCTGTATTTCTGTTACAGGAGGATCCACGACTGAAATTTCCAGTGCATTTGAGATCAAAAGCATCTTTGAACCCTAATGATTTGGGCCCTCTTCCTGTAAGTGATAATGTGTATGTATTTTAATATATACCTGCTATCTTATGTGATCTGATCTATTATTGCAGTCATATATTGTATGTGGACACATACGTTGCTGTCATCGCTTTTCTGAAGATATTAAAGCATTATTATTATTTATTATATATAGCACCAAAAAGCTTTCTTGTAATCTGTGAATCAGTCAGGCTCTTTGAAGCCAGCCCACGGTATTTCTGAAATGATCGCATGTTTCTTTGCTTATCTAAAGCTTTGAGCTTTGAAGAAGCTTAGCTTGGTTTTATCTCTGACTATGTGCTTTTAGATAATTGCCTGTTGCTGGAGCAGATTGTTCAAAGCGAGCTCCATTAATGTACCAACATATACTGGCATTCAGAAATCTAAATAAATTTTGATTTTTCAATGAAACTTCCACATTCTGCAGAGAAAATGATCATTTTAACGTCAGAAGTTTTCTCACACTTGTAACCCAAGTATAACGTTGATTTACAGCCATGTCAAATACAGAGCTTTGCTTTGTTGTTAAAAAACTGCATCCTTAATGGCAGAGGCTAGTCTATGACAGCTAGCACTTTAGAAGAAGTGCTGATTTTTATGGTGTAGTGTTAATTCAGCTCATTGCCTCATATAGACTAAGCATACTTTAGAGAAATTGCCCTTGAAGCTGTACTTGCAACACTGGAAACCTTAGTGACAACGGCCCCTAATTGTCACCAGCGCTCTCAGTGCTTCGGCATGTATTACGGGCAAGCTGTCTGCAAACAGCTGGGCCAGCAGAAGAAGCTATTGTCCCCTCCTACAGGACATGGCAGGTTAAATTATGTTAGTTTTAAACCGTTTGAATAACGAGTCTTTAATCCTACCGTTTTCATTGAGCTGGGTTACAGTTTGCTTAGATGACCCGCTCTGCCAGCAGACCAAAACAAGTGCTGCCTTTGGTGAGGGGCGGTAACCTCTGTTACCACCTACGGTCAGACATCCTCCCCTAAAGCATCCTGACATCGCACTGCCCTTGTCTTGGTTAGCAAAAACGTTTGCCTTGTATTTAAATCAAGGTAGGCCATTTGTCAGGCCCAGTGTCTTGAGTCACTGATCAGATCGAAAACTAGGCGCAGTTGGACATACTTGTTATGACGCGTTCCTGGTTACAAGAGAGCAGTAATGCACTTAATGCACTTCTTTAAGAAAACAGCTGTGGAAGTAGCTGTTCTTTTGCAATGCTTCAGATACCTTGAGGATGCATTCGTCTTCAAGGACACGTTGCTTCGGCAGGAGGCACTGCATGGGAGTAACTGAAGGGCCGATTTACAATTTATTCTGTTAATGGCAAGAGGTAAAACACGCAGTGAAGTGAGGATAGCCTGACATATATCCCTGGAAATATATAGTTAGTAACAGACTTAAACGCAGTTAAACAATCCATTTTTGAGTGAGGTAAGAATGACTACAGAATTTAACAAGAGTTTCTCAAAAAAGATTGAAATGAAATAGTTTCTCATCTATATTTTATAGAAATCTGAAGCTCATGTAGAGCATACAAGTGGAATGAGTGCTAGACTGGACAGCATTGCATATACTAACAGTGTGCCATTTATTCTCTTTTCTATGTGATAATCATTTGGAAGATGAGAAAAGGGAATGGATAAAAAGGGAAGAATTGAGGACTAGGTTAGACATTCTTGTCCCACTGTAATGGGATCCTGGCTTACGTATTTACAGTAAATAACCCACGTGTGTTTCAGAAGTAGAAGCAGAAACTCTCCACCTAAGCAATGATGGAGAATGTATTCTTTGTAATCATTTCCTCATAGTAGGAAATGGGTATAAACCCTGATGCAAGAAGTTTCCACTTCCAAGCTTTAAAAATACTTACTGTACTGGATACAGTTACCTGTATAAATAGCCAGTTCTTTGGATCTTCTAGATTTTTGGCCTCGACATAATGCGTCTGTGATCATTTTGTGTTTTCTGCTTCACAAGCATCTATCAGACAATTAAAGTAGGCGTGGATAATGCATTGCTTCATGCTGTGTGAGAGTGGTAGTATTTCACTTGTTTTCTCTCTTTTTTTTTATTTCCCAATTCTAGCCTGGCTGGGAGGAAAGAATACATTTGGACGGAAGAACGTTTTATATAGACCATAGTAAGTAAGCACTCAGGTACTACAGCAAATAGACAAAGGGAGGTAATAAATATTGAAGTGAAAGCTTTATAATTTTACTCTTCATTTAGGAAGCCAGGTGTTGATATGTGGAGACATTGATACCAGAGACTTAGTGCCCTCATACGGTACTGTATATTCACTGAAAGCTTGCTTTTAATTGGCTCATCAAGCTTTGTCCCTCTCTGACTTGTGAAGCATTAACATTTCTTCTTTGTGGTTTCTTTTGTTCTTGTTGATATTTTGGATTTGTTGTTGTTGTTGTTGATGATCCCATGGCTTATTTGCACTTAATAAATTAAAATATACACTAGGAATAGAAAATAAGATGAGAAAAGATCATATAGCCACAACTCCACACATAGGCAGTGGAGAAATTAGCATTGATAAGTACTCTTTCCTCTCCTTTAAGAAGGTCTTGTGGCAGTGCTGATTCTGATCTTATTTCCTATTTATAGCATGTTAAACTGCACCCAGCCCATTAATATTATTCAGTTCTGTTAGTGAAGTTCTAGTGTAAGTGACGTTTCATTGTAGACTTGTCTTATTACAGCATCTCAGAACTACCGTGTGAGTTTTTGTTGTTGTTCGAAAATAAAGCAGCCCAGAAAGGTTGGGTTGTTTCTTCTCTTTTTTTTTTTCCTTTAAGACTTCAGCTGGACTTTTTAATGAGATATTTCTGCTGATGGCATAATCTTCACAGAAACAGATAACTCACAAAACCATTAGAAGAGGGTACATATACTAGGCAAAACTTAAAGAATTAAAATCTTAAACTATTATACATATTTGATAGAATTACATTTTCCCTTCAGTATCAGTAACACTGACTCCTATGCTTATCTGTAGTTGTATATATGACATTATTAAATCATTACTAAAATACTGTCTCTAAAGTAATACAAATTTTGAAGTTGTATAAATAGTTTTAAACAAAAATTAGAAATAATACACTCATCAAGCACAAGATTAACCTCTTTCAAACGTCCGTACAGAATTATTATTCTTTATACCTTCTGTAACTGTAATTCCCAACAGATATCTGGAAACTTAAATATGGCAAATTATTCTAAACTGCTGCCACTGAAGAGTCACAGAATAAAACTGTCTTATTTAAAATACCTGTATAATTGTTGAGCCTCCCAACCTCCTTTAAAAAGTTTCAATTTTTCAGTCTCCCAAATCTACTTAAGCACGTGTTAGTCTCTAAAAGTAAATGGAATGTTAAAGTTGTATGTTAATTAGAATTCCCCAAAGAATTTAGAATTGTTATAAAACGACATTTATTTGCATCTGAAAGCTCCCTCTAGTCCCTCTTTTGATCTGAGTTTTTTTAGCTTTTTGTATAGCAGTTTTTACAAAAGCTTAGAGGGTTTTTTTTTATAATGCTGCTTGTTTCCAGCAAATATTCTTTTGGTCTCACCCTGGTGCCGCACCACTACAATCCCAAGTGGACTCTAGGAGGAGAGGTGGTGCCAGTGGTATTACAGTGGACACGTTGCAGCTCCGTTGTGGTAATGTTGCACTCGGTATTTAGGGAATGACTGCAAACAGCATTCAGTGCTCAGGGATTTGGCTTGAGCCGTCTCAACAGTAGCATTTGCTTTCACAGTGTCGATAAGGAAGTGCAACGACATTTGACCGTCACGATAGGTTTGTGACAGAGCCTGCCGACTCTTAACTTGTTTTGTGACTGACTGGGCAGCGTACGCTGAAATTGGGCATGGGTGCGATCAGCGGTGCTCGCCCTAGAGATGCAAGTCTCAGTAGTCCATTACTATGATAAACGGGCCATCATTTCAGTCATTCGCTGCTAAAGCGATCAGTTAAGATGCAACGAATGTAGTCGGTTTCATGATGAGAATACAGTGTAAATGTTGAAAGTGTTAACAGATTCAGCCACTAATAATGTCCTGGTTCCCCAGATACATGTTGTAATTCTTCTGCATAATTATCCAATACCGTCGTCGTCCCATTTTTGAAATGTTTTTCTCATCCCTGAGAGAAACTGTAAAAAAGTCTAATGCAGCCAGCACAGAAACCTCCTCTTGTGGAGCAGCACAAACTGCTATTAAGCATGCCATATGAACTAGTAAAACAAAGTACTGTTAAAATAATTCAGGTATTACTTATAACATAGTAGCCTGAAAATATAATATTTTTAGATCTTAATTGTGAACAGTCCTAATTTCTGCAGCGCTCAATCTTTAAACAAAAAATACAGTCTCTAGTTCTCCATGATTGGTCCTTAGCTGGCTAAGTCAACATTATTTACCCCCCGTGAATTAAATAGTGCTTTCTGTTCATCGTAGCCTGCATATACTTCTGCGTTTCTAGGAGCCTTATAGGAAAATAGGATCTACCTCTTGGAAGGTATCATGAAGGAAAACACAAAGGTTTTCCAGCCATGTGCAGAACAGTTACCAGTGGTTCACTGACAGAGGGATGGAGATATTAAATGGGTTCCCCTCAAAGTCTGTCTTGGATCCACCATTTTTCAATATATTTGTTAGTGATTTGAACAATGAATTAGGGGGAATGTACTCATTAGTTCAGCAGAACCAACAGTGTAGGAGAGGTGAGAGGTGCTCACTGGAACAGGATGAGAAGTCAGAATGAGCCTGCCAAATTGCCGCTGTAGTGTGAAGTAAGACGCTCTTTAATAAGAATTGCAAAGTATTACTCAGAATGGGAATAATTAGCAGAATTTTGCTTGAAAAGAGCGTGAAAAATATCATCAACTGAACATGAGTTAACTCATCCTGTGATGCATCAACAAGAGTGTCTTAAATGAGACCTGAAGTAATCCTTCTAATCTCATCAGCACTGATAACGTCTTGGCTATGATAATACTGTATCAAGCGTGGCGTCCCAAACGTCGAGAAAAGAGTGGACCGCTTGGAAGGGGACCAGAGGAGAAGAGGGAGTCCTCAAAGGCCCTAGAGCCCGATTTATGAGGAAAGAGAGAGTATTGTACTTGTGTGAAAACTCAAGAGAGATGGTAGATTTTCAAAAATGTGCTGCAAAAGGAATGAGTTTGTTATCCACATCCTCTTTGGATAGGACAGAGAATCTTGACCTACGATTCCGGGTATAGAGTGGTTCAGGTTAGACCCTTCTAATTGTTGGGGCGTTTAAGCCCTGGAATAGCATTGATAATATGAAGTCCCTGTAACCCTCTGAACAAAATTTCGACAAAGATTTGTCAGTAACATCGTACACTCTTAAGTTTGTAAGGCCATAAGAAAGAACTGACAAACTTGCAGTCATTTCCAGTTCTGTTATCTTTGATTTCATAGAAAGTTGCCACCGTGATTTGCGGCTGTCAGTTGCAAGTAGGTATAAGAAGTGAATTGGCATAAAACCAGTAAACTTTGTAAAAGGAAATCTGACCGAACAGGTTGAAGCAAGATGAAGAGGGCCGGACTAGGTGTCATGCCTTTATGGCAGGCTCTGGGCTGTGGATCTCGTGCGGTTTCTGGCCCTGCCAGTCTAACGGCCTTCCTCCATGATTTCAGTAAGCATTAAATAGACTTAATGTGTAAGGGGAAGTAAAATAGTATTTTAATATTAAATTAACCGATAGATCAAATTTCTTGAAATGTGCTTGCGATATTTTTAGATGTTCTTCGATTAACGTTTAATGAATGTCACCTTTCAAATCCCAGTCCATTTTAAAACTAGCTTGGGATGCGCAAAACTTCCGGGTCTTTTCCAACTGTAGGAACATGGAAAATGCTTGTGTCTTAATACAAGTGGGTTTGGTTCTTTGCTTTTACCTATAGGAGCCATCAAAACAATTTTCTTGAAACTTAGTGTGTTTATTCCCAAACCTAGCAATTACAAAACTTAAAATCTGAACTCCTATCTTAATACACAGTTCATAAATCCAAGCAGTGCATGTAACAAACAGCTGCGTTGTTGTTATTACCCTCTCAGCGCAGGAAATGGATGACTTAGACCTTGCCATTGCAGGTGGCATCTAGTTTGGTTTTTGGAGCATTGTCTTATTGTTGCAACATCATCATTTTGTTGTGATTCTGTTGTGTTCAGAATCTTGTGAGGAGCAGTTGTCTGGAGACAGGGAGAGTTTCACCGTGGTCCTCTATAAGCTTCCCATGTCACCCTCCTGGTGCTCTTAAAAGCTGTAGATGAAAAGAACTGGCTTCTGTCGTGCCACTGCCAAAATCTCCTTTGGTCAAAACTGAACGATCTCTTCTACCATAACCTTGCCTCCCTTAATGGTCCTGTAACCTTTTTGTTAAATCAGTGTCTAGGACATATTTTTTTTCAAGAGATGTTATGCCCTCCAAATTTAAATACAGACTGTCTTTTATAAGTATTACATTTGGGCTATCTTTATGCAAAATTTCAAAAAAGTAAACTTAGTCTGTCATTTGACAAAGTTTTTGGGTTCCTTTACCTTTCAGGCATGAAGTCTGTGTGTTTCTAATATGAGTTGAATCCAAGACCATGTTCAAAGAGAACATGTTTACTACTACAGACGTTGAAATAAAAGCAGTGTAAATACACTGGATTCTGTTGTAGTTTTGCATTTTTGAATGAGTGTTTTCAACTAAACAGTGTGACGGGGTTTTGATGTAGATGGGTGAATGCAGCCTTTTCTAACCCTGAAATACTAAGTTGTGGAAATGGTAGGGAAAACAGTTGTAGGGAGAAAAAACCAACATAAATTCACAGTGTGGTAACAGAGAAGTAATGATATAATTTCTTTTGTTATTTACAGATAATAAAATTACCCAGTGGGAAGACCCCAGACTGCAGAACCCGGCAATTACTGGTCCAGTAAGTACTGCTATGGTTTTTTTTCCATTAAATGCTGTGACTCACGTACATTTGGTATAGGCAGGAGGCATTATTGAGCAGCAGGTCATGCCTGTTCTCCAGATCAGGTCAGACTGATGAACAGAGCAGGAGGCAGGACCTCTGCCTTGCGTTGCCGTTTCCTGACAGACAGGGGAGGCTTCAGTGCCAGCTTTTGTGAGTCTGCAAAGGCAGGGGGAGCTGCCGTCGTGTGACAGCCTGCCAAGGCGCCCCAAAACCGTTGCCTTGTCCCCGGCATTCAGGTCGTTGTACCACTCCGGGGACCCTATTCTGTTTCGCACAGGCTCGAGCACGCTGGGGACTTCCAGGCTGCCAGCTGCCAGTGGTCCAAAGCAGTAGTGGGCTCGCTGGGAATCACTGGAACATTGGGAACTACAGTGCTGTGCACACTATTCCCAGGTCAGACAATAGGTTGGAATTTGATGGGTTCGGAGGCTTTCCTAGCAGTAGCTACCTAGCTAGGGAATTCTTCCAGTGGTACAGTATGATTCCTGTCTTGTAGCCATTAGCATGTGAAGCTGGCTTCTGCCTTGGAGTGTCTAGGAAACATTCTTCACCGGTAGACAGGACAGTAAATCGCAGAATACCCCTGTTTCAGCGGGGAGGAAGAGAAGACTCTTCAGAAGGATAGAGACTCTTTTGTTTGGATGGTTTTAATTTTTTGTATTGTTATTTCTGAGGGAAGCTCCATCCGTTCAGAAGCTGCGTAGCTAAATAGTCTGAGTCGTGTTTCATGCTCTGAAACACATGGAATCCCGTTATTTTCATTTGTTTCATTCTCCCTCCTCCTGCAACCCAAAGCATTCTGCACTAAGTGATGATGATGAATGTGGTTTCTGAAAGAGATCCATTGCTCATATGATCCCTGGCTGAAGAAATAAAAAAATTAAGATTTCGGCATGGGTTTTGCTGTTGTATTTGCTGCTTATTGTGATGATGAAATTCCGGGACAAAAGTAGTAGAGTGATATCTTTAACTTACTTTTGACATCCAGAAAGATGAACCAAGGGAAAAAAATGTGATTTTAAATAAATTACATCTAAAATAATGTAAGTGTAAAATATTCTTCAGATTTTTTCTTTCTCCACATTTCCTGATACTCTAAATTACTTAGCATGGAACAAACAGTATTAAATCTTTGCATCTTATCTTTTATTCCTCCATTGTGGTAAAATAGTACGTTTCTATACCAAGCTATGTGAAGGGCACATGTCCGCTCTGAATCTTAAGTCGGATCATCTTGGGAATTTTGGACCGAGTTCATTGTGCTGAATCCTAGATTGTACGGATTTAGGGGTGTGGAGAGGAGAAACGTTCGTATTTAGCCATTATCTGGGTCATTACTGACAATAGAATTTTACTGAGCTGAGACACTGTGCTACTAATTTTTGGATTTCTGGAAAATAAAAAGCTGTCTCCACTCAATATGGGAGAGTTGTAACTCTGTGGATTCACAGTGGAAGAAAGAAAAATTGGGTCTGTCAGTTTTAAGAGACAAAACTTACTGCAGATAAATGAAGAGATTTCAGAAATCATCCTTAGAAAAAATAAATACGTGCTTTTACTTTAATATCAAATTTTTAAAACATCAAATGTACGGAGTGATTCTTTGACCTTTCTGTGCTGGTTTATGCCATTTTATGGTATTCTGAACGATCGGACTTCCAACCCTAAGATGTTTCCAGGTGCCAAGAATACCTTTTCATTTTGGGTAAACCCTCAGAATTTTTAAGGGTCTCGGGACACAGCAGATTAACTACTGCATGGTGTGATTCCAATTGCTCTTGTTTATTAATAAGATTAATAATAATCACTTGTTTGAACATAATGAGTTTTGGAGTGATTTACCCATTTATCATGTACTAAATGCTTGAGATACTAATACACAGTATGCGATACAAACTCTTAATGTTTATTTTCCCAGAAATGTTAAGCATAAATGAGAAAGACTATCTGGGAAATTTTGTTTCAAGATAATAAGGGTCGATCATGATCCCATTAAGTAAATAACAGTTATTTGTGTGGGGTTTTTTTTTAAGAGAAAGCAAGATCAAATCCATTTTACAGCCATATAAGCATTAAGGATTCATCTTAATGCTTTTAATAGTATTTTTGGTGCCATGACAAAAACAAAGAGCCACTTAAATTGCATTTCACATTGCATTAAACAGCGGAAACATGTTGAAAGATTATTTAAAGACTGCAGTAAAGTCATATTATCAGCAGACTAAAATGATTGAGTGTGATTTTTTTTTTTTTTTTCATGTCTCATCATCCATAGGAGAAAACTCACATAGAAATATTCCCACCTCCCACTCTCACCTACATCCAGTCATGAATCTATGACAAGGACCAGCCCGTACCTTCCCTCCCTCAAAGTCCCAGTCAGTCCTCACCCAGAAACTGAACCTGAACCAGAGCTTTGCCGTTTGTGATTCAGGGAACAGAGAATGTAACTTTTGCAGTCCTGTGGAATTCAAAATCGTTCTTTTGCTCCCAAGAAATCATGCTTCATTTGCTTAGCTAGCTGTTTTACCAGGTCTGCTCTTTCATCTTGAAGGAACAGTAGAGCAAGGGAAAGTCAGGATGTAGTTGGAAAATATTATGAATATTATGATCAAGGCCAGGAAGCTTTTTTTTTTTTCCCCCCTCTCTTTTCTTCAAGGTTCTTTCCAAACCCGGATTAAATTGTTGTTGTATATGGTGTCAAAAACCAGAGAATTAAGGGTTCTTAATTCTCAAAAAATTATTTGTCAAAAAAACCACAGAGAATTAAGGAATCTTACTTAAACACATAGCAATTATTTGTTAGAGGCAGACCTGTACCTGTCATAGTATCACTTTGCCAGCCTATTCCTGTTCATTAGTTTAATTGACGACTTTGTTTTATGGACGTTTCATCTGAAGGCTGAATAACGTAGGTTGCAGTCATAGGACTGTCAGTCAGGAACATGGATGGCTCTTCTCTGTACTCCTGCTCGATAGCTAATGCACTTCAGTGCTTTTGTGTCTGGTACAGCTTGCTGCCTTACCAGGCCTGGCCTTGCGGGCGTTTGTATGCATTTCCTATCTGGCGCCAAAGCAAAGGAGTCAGATGAAGACAAGCAGGTAGCAGAAAAGAACACTGTCGTCTGACTGGCTACCGTGATGGTCAGCGAGCGGCGTATGGATTACCATCAGACGTGGCAGTCTTCTAGCGTGGTGTCAAGTCCTTGCTTGCCTATACAGTGTGTTAGCAGGAAAGAGAGGCACAGTGTTAAAACAGAAATGTCTTTCGAAACTCTGAATGGCAGAGCTTGTGAGAACCTGTGTTGAACCTTGGTTTGTGCATGCCTGGAATCGTCCTGAGAGGCCTTTCAGGTATCTGGAAATCCAGTATATATTTCAGAGACCTGGGGCATCTGTTAAGGGGTGTTTACATATGCCAGAAACCAATTTCCAGCTCTGCTGATCAATGTAATTCTACCAACCTTCACTGTGCCTTTTTGTTTCTTTTAAACTTCTAAAATTGTTCTGTTACGCTGCTGTTACTTAAAAATGTGGTCTAGCTCACAAGCAGCTGCACTGAGTGAGTATTCAGATAAATATTACACACCGACTTGTACTTGGTTCAAATGAATGTTAATTTGATTATGAAATGCTTTCGGATTCTGGATTAAAGACATTATGAAGGTGTGTATTTTCATTATAAGTAATTTACAAAATAGTTTTGATATAGTTTGATGATAGTTTGATAACTATTAAGAATTAGATTCATTCACATTGGGCTGAAAAGATAATTTCTAGGCATGGACATTCCCCTGCCTAGTTAACTCTGCTGTGTAGGTATATATCGTGTCCTGCACTTTTTCGAGGGCAAACAGTGTTTGTTGTTAATGCTGTAGCTTTACTGGAGCCCCTTTACTTGTTCTTAGGTTCATTTTCAAAAGTCTCTTGAATTTTGTCTTTTGAGTAGCACCTAACAATGCTTAGCACTTTCAGCTGTGCAAATCCACAGTCTGTGGTAACACTGCTCATCTTCAAAACTCAGCGTCATACGGCATGCGCGCTATTTCCTCGGGAGACACATGGATGGCAGCAAGGCATTCCATATTTTTTTGTCTGTGTTAAAAATCGGATTTGCTCTTTTCTGTTCCGATAAGAAGAAAAAAAAGGAGGGTAAGTAGTTGATCAACGGAAGAACCGGTTGGAAAGTTTTCATGCCTTTTAACTCAAATGACACACTGAGAAATGGGAACCTTTTGGCTGCTGTACTTCATGCATGGCAGGTTTTATTAGATGACCTATGGCATACACATGGAGATAGTATGTCTTTAAATTTCTTCTTTGATTAAATAATGTTGGAATATCAAACTGCTAAATAGTTGGAATAATCGATACTTATGATTCTCTCTCTGATAGGCGGTTCCGTATTCCAGGGAGTTCAAACAGAAATACGACTATTTCCGGAAGAAGTTAAAGAAACCAGTGAGTAGAAACATGCTGCTTTGTGTTGGAATCAAGTACGCTGGCCCTGGGAGAAACAACAGGCTATCCCAAGCATAGATGCAGAATGGCGCTCTATATTGCTATAACGCACTTGCCAATTTTTCGTGATTGTGCTACTCCTGAAGAGGTTAAGTAGGAACCAAAAAAGGGAAGAAAAGTTTGAATTTGGTTGATTTCTCAACAAAAACATTTACAGATCTTTAAGGCTCACGTTTTTCTATTTGAATGCAAATCTTTCCCATTGCAACTGAGACTAATCAGTGTCTTCGTTTACAAGCCTGTAGGTTGAAAATAGGCTTGAGGATTGATATTTCTCCTTCATCTTCAGCAGTGGCCTCTGAAGGGCAGAGCTGGAACAAGTTGGCAGAGCAGAGCCCACAGTTGTGCTGGATCTGGCACAAGCTTCTAGTGTTCTTGTTCTGTGAAAAAAAGTATTTTCAGTAACATCTTTAACGTAAGAGAGCCCTCAGTATTAGCTTGCATGGGCTATTGACTCATAGGTAACAGTAAACAGCCTTGGCAACACCCACCTATAATTTGAGGAGCAACTTGCCAATGTCTTTACCTGTTTATTGATAGCTTCTTGAATTTCCACCTTGAGTCTGACCAGTGCTTGCACACAATAAGCACTTTAGATGTCAGGAAAAAGCGAACTTTCTGAAACAGTTGTTTCAAGTCAGTTCTATCAGGAAAACTATACATGGCTGTAGCAGCCACGTTTAGCTGTTGACCCAGTCTTCTTTCTACAAATTCTTAACTCGGTTCTCTTCGGTCTTTTCCGAATTCAGCTCCCTGGGCGTTAGCTCCCTCCTATTTAGACAGAACTTCTAGAACATTTTGGCAGCCCACTTCTCTTTTGTTTACATCTTTGCCGTTCGGTTCTGTTGTGTGTATGGTACTGTAGGTGTTCTTGTTGTGAAACTGTTCTGGCCTTTACAGATACGCGAGTAAAGCGGTTGCATACATCTTGTGCATTTATTACCATTTTAAGCTAAAATGCCCTTGAAATAGTGCGTAGTAATATGAATCGTTTTCTCACTTCTTTTTGGTTTGTTTGTAACTTTTCTTGTTGTTTTCATTGTTTTGTCAAATACCATAGTAATCTCTGAACCACTATACTGGAGCTTACCTAGTTCACCATATGCTATCAAGCTGTAGACTTAAAGAGCACTGGAAAACAAAAATAAGGGGAAACTTTTACACATCAGATGTCTAATCTGTCATGTAGTTGTTACCACCGGTCAGTAATTTGCCTGAAAACTTATTTGTTGAGACTAACTGTTATAATGTAATCTCCTTTCACGTAGGCTGATATACCGAACAGATTTGAGATGAAGCTACACAGAAATAATATCTTTGAGGAGTCCTACAGAAGAATCATGTCTGTGAAGAGACCTGATGTGCTAAAAGCCAGGCTCTGGATTGAATTTGAGTCAGAAAAAGGACTTGACTATGGAGGTGTGGCCAGAGAATGGTTTTTTCTCTTGTCCAAGGAGATGTTTAACCCTTATTATGGTCTCTTCGAATATTCAGCAACGTAAGTGTCCATTAAAATATTTCCATTCATAAGGGATATGTATTAGATTTTGCATAGGAGGCAAAGTTATGCTAGAAAGTAGTTAGATCATCCTTCACGGTGCATCAGTATGCACTCTTATCAGTCAGATCTCTCTGTTCTGCACTATCATTTCTTACTTGCTTTTCAGAGAACCTTTCAAATTGTAGTTGAAATCTCATAAAGCATTTTCATTATTAAGACAATATTCAGTGTTGCCTTGCTTGCAGCAAAACTGCCATTTTTGAGGCTAGGAATAGTGAAAGGAGCAATGTCAGACAAAAGACTTCTTACGCCCTCCCATTACATTGTAAAACACCTGCTGTCCAGAATTATAGTGCTGCTTTATAATTAGCTCATAAAGCAGCTTCTCATTTACATTTCAGTAGTTACACAGCAGTGGCCTTACATAAGTTTAAATTTGGTTTTGTCCAATTTTAAAATCTTTGAGCAGTCCATCAGTGTAAATGAGAGAGCAAGTCTCTTGCTTAAAGTACATTTGTTCTAATATGCTGTATGTAATTCCGCATTGTGTACTTGGCTACAGTGAGGATGGATTTCTTAATTGCAGACAGTAGTTTTGATGTTTTTAAGTCAATATCAAGCTCACTCCTTTCTCTAATAAGCGTTGAATAGACTGTATAATGAGAGTTTTCCCGCATTTGCGTCTCAGAAAAGACACGTTCTGCTGTCAAAGGGAAACTTAAACAACATCGACTAGCACGGAGTGCCTGTGTGTTAATAGAGTTCACTGGATAAACGTTTGTTTTGAAATATTTCACTTATGGGATATAGGTCACTGTAGATATTTTAAATATGTTAGTTCATTTTAGGTTCAAAAATCTAACCAGTTATTTTAAGGAATAAGAAAAAAAAGATCTACTTAAAACCCCCGTATCTTTCTTCACAGATTAAGAATATACTGCAAATTCAAAATACGGCTTTTACACTAATTTCTTATTGCGACTCACACTTTCAACGAGTCTTAATGCTTTGTTACCCAGTTAAAAGATCTTAGTCCTTCGACGGCTTTTTCCCATATCCTGGGCGTTAAGCGTGTTTCAGAGATGCTCTCTAGTATGTGCAGTTTAAGATGCTAGTAAGAAAACATCCTTTATCCTAGGACGGTTGGACCATGGGCCTATGCTTAATTCCTCTTCAGTACCTTCAGGTATTTCAAGAACTAAAAGCAACGACTGCAAAAGAGTCCTAAAATTTTAAGCCCTGAAATTTGGCTGGAAGGAGTGAATAATCAAGCCCAGCAGAAGAGAGAACTTAGCTGAAATTCTCATTCCACTGAAGCTGATGGCAAAATGTTAGTGTTTTCAATGATGCCAGGCTTTTACCCTTGGAAGAGGTCAGCACAGCCCTCTTACGCTTGCCACAGGTGGAATCCTGTTACCCCCCAGCAGGAGGTTTAGTTACCTCGGTCAAATAATCATTATGGTCGTAGCACGACAGTTTTGATTAGGTCAGCCTACCTGCAAACTGTCGGTTACTTCTCTTGAGGAACGCAGGGAGAAATCACGTTATTACACTCGTGCAAAAATGAACAGAAATGGCCCTAAGCTCAAATTACTTATTAACGTATCTGAATATCTGGTTATTTAAAGACTTGGTTATTTAGATTTTTTTTTTCTTTCCCCAAAAAAGGGACAACTATACACTTCAGATTAATCCTAATTCAGGTCTTTGTAACGAAGATCATCTGTCGTATTTCACATTTATTGGTCGGGTTGCTGGTCTGGCAGTGTATCATGGGAAGCTATTGGATGGTGAGTTATTACGCTGTATGGCTATGCTACCGTTACTGGCTTTTTATTAAATGAAATAAATCACTTCAATAATTCATATACTTTAGAGCGTAGTATTTCTGGAGGCAAAGTCTGAGAGAAATTAATGGAACTGGAACTGTTGGAAATTGCATTCCTGATGTGAATGGCAATTCAAAAATTATAGTGTCTTACTCAACAAATATGTTTCATATGAAGTTTTGCTCCTTTCTCCACTCGTGTTAAAACTACAGAATCAGCATTGCTAAATAATCGCTATCCCTAAAGGAAAATCACTAAATTTATATCAGCCATTTCCATGCAAACCTGCAGCCAAAGCAGTTGTGTGGGTGTCAACTGCAGCATATTTTGATCTGTGAAATTATTACCGAGTGATTTCATGAGAAAATATGATTTCTGCCAAACTTTGAAATCTCACAATAAGCGAGCAAGCAAACGTTATAAACTGACTTTATTGAGCAATAGTGCAGCACATTAGAAGAGGAAGCTCGCCGTCCTGTTTTTCTAGCATCTCCTTTGAGGGAAGAATGGCAATTTTAAATGGATTAGAGTACCTTGAGCTCAATTCCCCACCTTTTGTGTCTCTCTGCCATTAACGTTATGGTGTTTAACGGAATATGGTAATTAATGGCATAATTCTTGTAATTGAAAAATTTGGCTTCTGTGCCTAAACAAAAAATGAGCCTTCTGTGTTAACTTGAGCAGTTACAGCACTGTTACTTTCAGGAGGTTTCTTCCTTGCTGGCACCCTAGGAAATACTGTCCTTGAGCAGTCATATCTTTATGTAAGGTGAAAATGCAGAACAGTGGAGGTAACACGTTTTCCTCTCTTCTAGGCTTCTTCATCAGACCTTTTTACAAGATGATGCTGGGGAAACCAATAACTCTGAAAGACATGGAGTCAGTGGTAAGATAACATTGAAGCTGTATCAGCATTAGGAATTACGTGGTTGTTTTCCTCTGGGGAAATTAATATGAGCTGACAGTTCCGGTAAACTGCATGGTAGAAAACACAAGGTCATAGTTACAACAACTTTAGAAAGATATGTACATACTTTTGTAATAAAACACACTTTCCCTGGTAGGACAGCTGTTTCGGTACCAGTGCACTAACAGCGGTGACAGGGACAAGGGAAAAGAGACATGAATAGGCCAGTAAGAAACGCAACGTAAGATGTCTAATTATACCTCCAGCTTTTCCGCTGGCTCAGCTTTCTCCCTGTTAGAAGGAGCACCACCACCAAGGCCTGCAGCTTTCTTGTCACGCTGTGGAGCAGGAGGAGAGGGGTGCAAGGGCTTAGTTCTGACCTGGGAACACGGGAAGTTGCCCACAGTGCTGGCAGGGGAAAGGGTCGCCAAATGATAAACAGTTCTCTCCAAAATACACTTTAACGAATGCAGCACAACTTACGCCCTTATATCCCCATGGTTTTGTTCCCTGCGCTTCCTCTACTTTCACACCTTCAACATCAATTGCAATCAAGTACTTTAGTGTTTGGCACTCCCTGGGAGAAAAATGAATTGTTTTACAAGTTGGTGATCTCTAACTTTGTATTGTAAGATGAAGGACAACAGTAAATAGGATCCCGCAGATGTCCAGTCTAGATGTGCAGTGTACCGGTATTGAAACACAGTACATTTCAGATATGTACAATAGCTAAATACAAATGGTTTCCATTAAGTTAGCAGGATGATACTTGGCTTTGTCCTTTTAACCTTTGGAGGTCTGTCCGTTTTTTCTACTACTATGGACTTGGGAGAACCTTGGAGCTGTTACTTTTCCCCTTTCTAACGTCTTACTGTTACTCATTATACGGCGTAGTTTACCTGGATAAGACTGCTCCAGATTGCCTCTGTAGGGGCAGGACTTGGTTGTGAGCCTGGCCGCTCACATCCTGCACTTTCCTACGACTGTCTTCAACAGCAAAGTCAGTTGACTCACAAGCCCAGCCCAGAGGCAAAATTACAGAAGATGAGATGAGAAGATGAGCTTGAGCTCAAGTACAAGCTTAGAACGAAGCTCCTGAGACACGTATCCAGAAGGATCTTAAAAGGAAGTTCAGGCTCTTGTATTCCTACAAGTAGTTGGGAAACCTTCTCCTCTTATTCTTAGCTCTGCAAGAGCTGTCCTTGGTCTTGTCAGAAGTATACTCGGTATGAGAAGAAGAAAACACGGTTTATTCTTTTTGATGTTTTCGAGTTTTACAGACTTTCGGTTACTGACATAAAGGCTGGTTCGGCTGCTTAGTCCCTCCTCCAGCTCCCACTGTCTCATAGTCACCATATTTTGGCAGGCCATTCTTCTCTTGAAGCATACATGAGTAAATAATGTTTTAACTTCATTTTAGGAAATGAGAGGGGTGTTTTTATTCAGCAAACTTCAAGGCTTTTAGTAATAACAATGCAATCAGTTATTGTATAATATATTATCGATGTAATGAAGTGGTATATAAATTGTGTTGAAAAGCATGTACAGTTTTATCAAGAAGACATTTTCTAATGAATTATTTATTTCACACCTCTATATACATATTTACCAAATAGATACGTAGAGTCAATTTATTGTGTTGCATGATAATGTAATTACAAGTAAATTAAGAAGAGTTACATGAATCTAAAAATGTAGCATCTCTAGAAAAATACATATGAATAAAGTAATCCATCTTACCCTGCTTTACAGTAGCTGTGCAAATAAATGAGTTCTCATCTTTCCAGTCCCTTTGGAGTTCTAGTTTCAGATGTTTTCATTTGTTCAATTTAAAGTTAAACTATACATTTAATGTTCACATTTTCAAGCTTTGTTTAATTATAATCTGCTGCAGGACAGTGAGTACTACAACTCTTTGAAGTGGATCCTGGAAAATGACCCGACAGAGTTGGATCTCATGTTTTGCATAGATGAGGAAAACTTTGGACAGGTACGTAAGTGTTATCCCAGAAGTCTGTATTTCCATCTTATTATTGGTTATTGCCAAAAAGGAATTAAATACTGAGCAGTATCTCATGGCTGTGCACTTGATGATCATGGGACTGTTGAATGTTAATGATCAGCATAGGCAGACTGTGAATATTAACCTCTCGGTCTTCCTGGCTGTCTAAGACTGGGGATGCCAAAGCAGGAAATAATGTTCTTGTCAGGGAGCAACATGACATCTTTGTGCAAAGCGGTTCCTGAAGCTGAGTAAAATACTTGCACTGAGGAGTAATAACGGTGTTACACGGTCCATCTTAGAAAGTAGTCTCAGCTTGGGACTGTTTGGGGTTTTACAGGTTGAAGATGTTCTCAAAGGACAAAGTAAGCGGTAGAACGATAATCAGCGAAGTGCTTTGTTTCTAGTGTCTTTTATATAATGCAGGTAGATGAGGCAACAAAAGCAAGCATCCCTGGTTTAAAAAGGTTCACAATCTGTGGATAACTTTCTCCGTTACAAATGAAAAATGTGGGATACATGTTTAACAACTGAGAAGTGAGTAGGTGGGAATGTAATTCATCAGCCGAAGTCGTAACTCATTTTATCAGTAGAAGCTGTAAGAACAGCATATGGTACGGTTTGCCTTGGATTTATAGTCGGTCTTTACAGAGAATCCTATCGGAACAAACTTCAGAGATCTGTATCTGTTTCTGGATGGAAATAACTTGAGTGCAGATAAATGTCTTGTACATAAGTATATGTGTTAAATTTCATTTGAGGACTTAAAGGCAAATAAATCATGAGTCTACTTACACGAGCTTGGAACTTACTTGCCTGCCGTGATTGTTTGTTTGCTTATTTATTTACAAGCTGTGGAGCTGAACCATTTTGTAATGCATGCACACAAGTAACGACTAAAACATACCGATTTTGTACAATATTGGGACTTAATAATACCTACCTGTGTCTCTTAAATTAATTTGCTTATAGGCTTTTATGCCCTTTTCTAGTGTCTTCACTTCGTTTAACTCCTAGACCTAGATATCGTGGCTCTGGGTACCACTGGTACTGTGGACCACCGTGCCTTTTTTAAAAGCTGACCTCAAAATTTCAAAACATAGGCACACAACGTACTGTCAAGAACATTCTGATCCACTTCTCAGCGCTTACTACTTTTTTTCCTGAAGCAACATAAGTTTATCGGTTACGTGGAAAATTAGGGAGAACATTAAAGCCACAGGATGAAAAGTTTTTGTAATACACTGGGTTGTTTGTCGGGAATTCGCATTGTCTGCTGTTCTGTAACGATTTAACTTTGAATTATTGATAGCCTTTCACTGCCAGCTTTCGCTTCTGCTGGCAGAAGTTCGTTCTCTGACTCAAAGCATAAATCAACTTACTCAGAGATACTTTCCGCTCGTCTCCTAACTCTTTAATACCTCAAATAGCTAATTCTGGCATTGTTAGCAAGATGGATTTTTGTATAATTCACAATAGCTGCATCTGATTCCAGAAGAGATTAATCTTTAGATGCCATTCTTCAGCAGCTCAGCACTGTATAGGCACGAAGCAGATCACCACTAAAGTGTGACGCATCATTTTAAAAAGTTGCAGGCTGTCCGGGAGTGTTCATGCTCTCGGGGAAACGTTACAAACTGGTGTTAAAAACAGCGGCAGCTTGAGGCTGACTGGTTCATTTCTTGGTTTACCTTTTTATTAAATCTCTCCTGTGTTGTTTCTGTGTATCGCGGGTGCGAAGTAATTAGTGGCGTTTATGACTTCCTTTCTCTTGAACGTAACATTTTACCGTGTTCTTACAATATACGTGGGGTTGTTTGGGAAGTTCCCTTGATATCATTGTTAGAGTACATGAGGTGGGCTTTGTCCTCTTTAGAGAAATATATTGTGAGTGGGTGGAATAAAGGCATCAAAAACATCAGTCTTACTGTTCTCGACATTTCTACTCACCTTCTTACCCCCAGAGTTTTCCTTCATAATATGGCGGGTATTTATAGGCTTTGGAGATTCACGTCTTTGTTGATGTAGAAATCCAGAGGATGCTGCCGCAGCCGTGCAGGTGTTACGGCCCTGTACTCTGATGACGCCTTAGCTCAAGTTGGAGGCACCCGTCACGAGTAACCGACTTCATGTGCTCATTCAGTGCCCAGTTTGTTAACAGAAGTAACAGTTCTTGTTCTAATCGCTGTAACGTAAGTTCCAGGTGTTGAGCTGATATCACAGTCCTTGTGTGTCTCGGAAGGAAAAGGCAGTTTTGGCTAGCTCTGCAGCAGTAGCGACGAATGCATTTCAAGTTTTCTTGGCTAACTTCTCTTTCAACTTACATATAAGCTCACCGAGTTACAGACAAATGCCAGTAGTAGTAGATATAATAATGCTGTTTCCATCATACTGCTGGTGAGATGCAAAATTGGCAGGACAGATTTGGCTGAAGAAAAGCCTGAATGAGCTCAGCAGTGCAAGGGCAGGGTGTGCTGCAGTGAGGAGGAATTTATCTAGCGAGAGATTGAAGCATCAGTCCAAACGCCTATAGGATGCTTTCCGGCAACGCAGCAGTTCTGGCAAATATTGACTACGCTGGCTTTCCTGCATGTACCGCTGGCCATTGCCAGCGCTGTGGGGACTGCTGGAAGTCGAGGGACCCTGACGCTTCGGCACTCATTTTGCCTCATCTACTGCTGAACTGCTGAAAAGTGCCCTTGGGAACCTGAGGAGGAGATGATACTGCTTCCAGAAGGACGCGGTGTATGTAAAAGGGAGGTATTTGCATTGCTGTAAGCTTCTGTGTTTGTTTATACTTCATCTATCACCAAAACCTTTTCTGGAGTTAGGGAAAACCAAAGAAACCTCTAGTAAATCTTATCTTCTTGTTACCCTTCCTTCCTTAATAACCAAAAATATGGTTCCGGTAGTTCTCACAAGTCAGTAAGAAATACAAAGTAGATATTCTCAACACGGAAAGGATGGAGAACTGTCTTCAAGAAGCAGAGAAAGAAAAGGTCTGTACTTCTGCTAAGTTCTTAATGGCTCTGGAATACTGTTTCTCATTTCCTAAAAGCAAGGTGTCTTCTGGTGGGCAGGAGGGGCAAGCACGAAGCAGCCTTCTGTTTGTGCCAGACTGTCCGTCATCTTCGTAACTTCATCCTATTCAGCTTTGACAGTATGGCAGGCCTCTTCCTTACTGGTTCTGGACTGTCTTCCCTGGTCTTTATGGAACGAATAAGCTACTGTTTCAGAGCCGTGTAGGTTCCCTGTTAGTCCTGTTAGTTACTTTTCCTTAATAGTATAGTCATCTTTTTTTTTTTTTTCCTATACAGTAATAGGTATATTTATTCAAATAGAACTATTGTATTGTTTTTCTCCTTCTTGAAGCATTCAGTGTTAATCCAGTCCTGAAAAGAGCTTTCCAGCCTCCTCCTTTCACAGCTCCATTTATTAGCTAATGAATTTACTGTCTCACTGTTACTCTCAACCACAACATCTGATTTAATTATGGAAGATTAGTAACAGCTTTAAAAATAGGCTTGGTTGAATGTGGGTGCACAGAGTCAGGCCTTGGTTGCTTCCGCTGGAACCGTGGTTTTGAAGCGATGGCCCAGGTTGGCTGGAACAGAGCGAGGCCGTGCAAGCAGCAAAATACCGGACTTTCCTTCTCTCCTGCGCAAGCACGCGTGCTTTACAAGACGTTAATCCAGTCGTGTGCCTATGCTGTGGGTAAACACCAGGATCTGCAGTCAGCAAAGCGCTTCTTCCTAGCCGCAGCTGCGGAGCGTATGGTTTGTAACAGTTTTGCGGGGGCACTCTCTGATTAAACCTACCAGCTTCTAGCTTTCCTGGTACCTACCCAGCACTAATTCGGTGAACTCCTACGGGGAAATCACTTCCTTCAGAAATAAATACATTATTTGGACTTGCTGGAGTTTCTTGTGAACTGTAATGAATTTGTTTTTTTCAGCCTTGTGCTCCACAGTGACACTAGCCTTAGCAAATTTGTGTTTAACCATTTCATAATCTATTTTTCTACTTTACTTTTTTGGCCTTTTTATGAAACAGTTTCTGGGTGGACTTTAAGTAATCATTTTTTTTCCAAGCATTTTGAAAAATCAGAAGGCGTTTTTCTACCCTTATTAAAATGGAATTTATGTTGTCTCTACCCAAATGGACCTGCTGTTCAGGACTAAGTTTGCTTTTGAATGGTTTGCTCACCTGCTAATGACAAGAATTCGTTCTTATAAGTGATCACATAATAATTTGTTCCTTGTGATGCCACCTTTAAATGTGGAATGTTTTGATCTCTCATTAGCTATTACGCCATAATAATTTTCTGGTACTGCTTGTAAAATGCCGCTCAAGGAGAGCGGATTTTGTGAGAAATGTGTCCTGAAATAATGTCGTGTTGTGTTTTGTTTTTTTTCTTTTGAAATGCAGACATATCAAGTTGACCTGAAGCCCAATGGGTCAGAAATCATGGTAACGAATGAAAACAAAAGGGAATATATTGAGTACGTATACATTTACAGGATTCATCCTGAGTGTAAGAAAGCACGGTTGCACTTGTCTTAGAATTTACCCTACTGCAGTTACTGTATTTTGTACTACACTAGCTCATCAGAGATCCTTTTAAAAGAAAATCTTCCTGTTAACATAGATTGTTTATACCCTAATCCTTAGAAAGCTTGAATTTTAACCTTTACTGTTCCATGAATTGCACTAATCAGGGGGGTCCGTCATGTAAAAGGAAACTATTTTCTTGATGGGTAGGCGTGAGGAACGTTCAAGAAGGGTTGGGGTTGCTCTGAGTGACAGACATCTGCATCTAAATTACTCGACGAAAAGAGCTGGCACCTCTTGGATGCAGTACTTGCCACGTTAAAGCAGACCTTTGAATTTTGCCCAGTTGCGTGCCTGCTTCTGCCTGTTGCCTGCGTGCCTGGGGTAACTAGCTCTGCTTTGTAGGTCCCCAAAGCGGCGGGCAATTCCCGCCCTGGGATTTACGGTGTTTCCTGGTGAACTGCTGGGTCGCAGAGTGCAAATCAGGAATGAGTGCCGATCCGAGTGCTAAACCGGGTCTAGAAAAAAGAATGAAAATAGGATGTCTGTATCATTTATCGAGTTTGTATTGGCTTGCCATTGTGGTCTTCATCCGAGGAGGAACTCGGGACCTCTGTAAATGTTTAAGCATTCCTCTAAGAGGAGAACTTTGTACTTGTTCGGTAACCTCACTTGCAAGGTTGTGTTACAGTGATTTGGTGTAATGGGGGAACAATAAGAAATTTCTGCTTTTATGATTTTTTTTGTTACTTTGTGTTTAATGTATTTGCACTGTCAGCTCTTGAGTTTTTCAGGTATGGCCTTTTTTTCAGCTTTCAGATGCAAGATATTAGACATCATAGACTTTTTTTATCTCCATCACCTCAATACAGTGCAGAAACAAAAAGCTCTCTGAAAATGTGCGGTCCAAAATTCAGAACCGAGTCGGGTTTACATCTCGGTAATTCTTTCATGGCTAGTCACAGTATTTTTATGACTTGAGAGCACACAAGTATTGACTCTAATTTGGAAATGATTAATGCAGCTCAAAATTTTTCAAATATTTTTTCCAGAATTGCATTATGATAGAACTGTTCTAGTTGTCGTGGAAAAAAAAACCAAACCACCCCACACACAGCCCAACAACAACAAAACCAACAACAGAAAACCCCACCAAACTGCAGGTGTAGTCACAAATGTAATTTTATTTTTGCTTCTGTGGCTTCACGCAGCATCCAAACGATGCATTCTCACGCAAATGTAGTGCTTATGGATATCGCGTAGGTGGCGAAGAACCGTTGTCTGACAGAAAATCTGGTGCTTTGTTTGCGTTATTTTATTATGTAACGTTTCTTGCAGAAATGAAGGAAAACAGATAAACTGACTAAATAGCCGCTAATTAAAATCAACGTCACTGCTTTAAGCGTTATGAGGAAATCACACTAGGAGTTTTCTAGTAACCGTCAAGCGAACAGTATCCAGTGCTGTAACGCCGCCTTTGAAAATTCAGTTTACGTAGCACTGGCCAATGTAAGAACAAAAATGGAGTAAATTAAATTAACTGCTTGGGTTTCCCGAAATGCCCGCGCAGGGAACGTGCTGCTCCAGAGCGTGGCTCAAAGCGCCTGGGTTCCAGCGAGCCCCAGGTGCTCTCCTGCGGGGCCGCTGCCCCTTGGCCGCCGCCGCTGGCTACGCGCCAGACCCGCGCTGGCAGCGGTGCTGTCAAGAACCGGCCGCAGCTAAACGGGCTGTTTGCCTTTAGTTTTAAGCTTCCTCTGTTTCTCTGCCCACCAGAACGTAAAATAATAAATTCAACTGTACTTGCTGGCGTTTTTAATTAGCGCCTCTTCAGAGGGGAGAAAGCCTTATAGTTGCTGTATTCGTGCAAATCAGGAAGGAAACGTGCTCCAGTAGGAAAGGAACTGGATTTCTAAAGCGTTATTCTAGAACCTGCGAGGTATTTATGCTGTAGGGGGTAACGCTGAAATACAGGCCTGTTCCTTTGATATTGCAGTTTTTATTCATCCCTATTTATTTATAGGCAGGCTGTTACATGTAATTACATCTGTCCTCACGTTTTGTAGACTTCGTTGGGAATTGGTGATTACTCAGAGCTCTGAAGAATGGAATGTCTCGTCATTTAGGTGCCTAATCCTAACAGTAAATGCATCATCCAGAGCCTAGGTGCCAGCCTCATTTAGAAAGCAAGCAAGCATAGTAAAGAATTTGCAGGCTGTTTCAATCCACAGGCAAGCCTTTTTGCCGTGCCCACCCTTGCCTCCCTCGGCACAAAGCGGTTAATGTCATGTCGTCTGGTAGCGTTACGCTAAAACGCGTGGTGATGTAGGAAAGTCATCGCTGTAAAACGTGGAAGTGCACGCGTAGAGTTTGCGCTGCATGCTGAAGTGGAACTACCCATGCTGTGGCTTGTTCGTAGTCACTGATCTTTTTCAACGTTTCGGTCAGCCACAGGAGATAAATCTGAACAATTAATAGGAAAGGTGCTCGCTTTCCTTAACATCAGAGTGTGGTTGGGAGATGGCTGAGGTTGTAAAGGAGAAACTGAAACTATTAAGGTTGCTAAAATCTATAAACTTAGTTTGCAGTTTACTAATGAGCGTGCCTACGTGTTGTTGTTTATCTGCTCTAGCCTGGTCATCCAGTGGAGGTTTGTAAACAGAGTTCAAAAGCAAATGAACGCTTTTTTGGAGGTAAGGTTCTTTAGCTGCCTTCCCCCCCCCAAATATATTTTTTTTTAATTTTATTTTTTTTTTAATGCAGACTTCTTACACGTCAGTGCGTTAAGGGAGTGGGGAGCTTTGCATAACTATCCAAGCTCCGGAATGCTTATGTTTTATGATTTCACAGTTTTGCCTTGTATAACAATATATCATCTTTCCTCTATGAGAAGAAGGTCCTCTTTCAAGCTTAAATTATTTGAGCTTGAAATAATTTTGTGATTAATTTTTTAAATTAGGGACTCGTACTTCAGCAACTGCGTATTTCATTTTCTAAACCCTCCCTCGTCCTCTGTCATTTACTTAGGTTCTTACTTTTACGTGGCCGGAGAACTTTAACTTTGTTTGCTTTCTTTTAGGGATTCACAGAACTTCTTCCTATTGATCTGATTAAAATCTTTGATGAAAATGAACTAGAGGTGAGTTTGTTTAACTGACGTCCAGAGACAGCGGGGCAGTAATGCTCATCACGAAAAGATGCGTTATGTTCTAGGCTCATCATTCATCGCTTACTCATCGTAAGTGAATTTGCAGACAGAGACGCTTTGCTTGCAGTGGGAAATGAGATTTTTCTCCCTAATTATTAAATCTATTGATCACATAAAAGCACACAAAACTGTAATTATTCGGTGAGGTGGTTGGGTATGTGCGTATAAAAGGATGTAAGTAGCTTACTGAATGGATGCCATTATGCCGATACCAGTCGCATTTTGAGCAAAATACTATAAAAGATGCTGTCACACGAAGCATACAGACGTCGCGGTGTACAGTGTTGCTCCAGTAACATGAAATATTCCTTGAGAATCCTCCTGAGGAGAAGCCCAACTCTCCTTTAGGTTTGTGTTTATCTTTGCACTGCTTAGCTGTTTAAAAGGTCAGACAACAGGGGGAAGTGCAAGCTTGTTTTTCCTGACAAAGCGTGCAGCGTAGCACAATGCCGTCTTGAACTGACACCGTAACAATTCACCTCCATATGTAGTTACTGATGTGTGGCCTCGGCGACGTTGATGTTAATGACTGGAGACAACACACCATCTACAAAAACGGTTACTGCCCAAACCATCCCGTTATCCAGTGGTTCTGGAAGGTAATGTTGTTTACCGCATTTGGCTTCTCTGCCTGTTCCTGAAAGTGAAAGTTCCTGTAGTGTTTTGCGGAGGCTGTTACGAAATCTTTTTTCTTTTTTTTTCTTTTTTTTTCTTTTTTTTTTTTTTTAATGTGTTGGAAATGAGAGCTGTGGTACCCGTTAGGGACTGGACTAGAAGGAGACCCAAGGCAGGAAGTCTGCATCTTTGGTTTTATCTAAAGTGTCTTGCAGTAGTTGTGAAGTAAAATACTTTAATGAAAAGTATATGTCCTCAGAAAAACTGCTAAAACACTTTTTCCCATAATAGCTGTAGATTTTTCCAAGGGGTGTCTGGTTTTCGTAAAAATCCCGGAATCCTACAGCTTGTGGGGGGGTTTTACGAAATTTTTTTTTTTTTTTTTTTTTTTTTTTTTTTTTTTTTTTTTTTTAATGTGTTGGAAATGAGAGCTGTGGTACCCGTTAGGGACTGGACTAGAAGGAGACCCAAGGCAGGAAGTCTGCATCTTTGGTTTTATCTAAAGTGTCTTGCAGTAGTTGTGAAGTAAAATACTTTAATGAAAAGTATATGTCCTCAGAAAAACTGCTAAAACACTTTTTCCCATAATAGCTGTAGATTTTTCCAAGGGGTGTCTGGTTTTCGTAAAAATCCCGGAATCCTACAGCTTGGTGTGTGCACTTCGAGCTTTGTTTCTGGGTTTCTTACATCGTTTTCATGACCATGGGCGGCATGCATGAAGGCTGTGTACCTGTAGCCATCCAAATGGTGCCGTGGCCCCAGACGGCTCGGCTCCGAGGTCCTGCTGCCGTGCAAGCCTGATCTGCTTTTCTGTGAGCCCTTGCAGTCTCTCTGACCTTCAAGGGTTTGCTGTCACCGCTGTTTCTCTCGTCCCCCCCTCGGGCCCATTTGCAGCGCAGCCGCTGTGCCCGGTGCCGCGGGGCAGGTGCGGGTCCCGCTGGCAGCGCGAGGCGAGCCAGCTCGTGCGGTGAATGGCCCTGGTAGCTCCCAGCTGCCGCCAGAGCCGGGTCTCGTTGTCGTGGCCCAGTGACAGCTGGAAAAGGATGCTCCTTGTTTAATCAGAGAAAACCGGGTGTGGGACCTGTAGTACATCGCGCAGAGTTATACCTCTGTTACAGTCTAATACAGATCATTTCCTCAGGTTTTGATTTGGTTTATAACAACGATACCTGCAGCTGTGCAAGTGCAGACAGTGACTGTGTGTGTCTGTCCGTAGGCCGTTTTACTGATGGATGCCGAAAAGCGGATTCGACTACTGCAGTTTGTTACTGGGACGTCACGCGTGCCTATGAACGGATTTGCTGAACTTTACGGTGAGCTTCCTTTCGCCTGCCCGCAGATCGTGCAAACCTGGGCACGACTGACATTTAGACATCGCCAACCTTTGAGCCCCACGTAAGAATTCTCCTTCGGGGTGCCGGGAGCACGGGAGAATTTGGGGGGCACACTGAGAAGGAGCAACGTTCTGTGCACTGTGGGCGTTCCGTAGACACTCTCCTCGCTCCCACGGAAAACGTTTTGACTGTCAACAGGAATAATATTCGCGTCATATGGAGAAGAGGAGAATGCGTGTTTAACTAAGCACTTGAATTTTTCCGTGTTATGTCTGAGCTTACTTCTTTTCCATTATGCAAAGATCGCTAGATAAACTTAACAAGGTAACTGGGTTTGGAAATAAATAACCACATTCCTACTTCCAATGTAGTTTTAATTAAGAGAGTTTGTAACCGGGTATTTTGTACCAGTTGAAAAATCTAGTACACAAATTTATGCAAACACTTAATTTTTAAAATAATATTTAGGTAGTCTCCGTAGTGTCCAGCAATTTATTTTTCACATGATTTTCTTTTTCTACCAGGTTCAAATGGTCCTCAGCTGTTTACAATAGAGCAATGGGGAAGTCCTGATAAACTGCCCAGAGCTCACACATGGTAAGTCGTAAAAGCATAGCATTATATCGCTTTTCTGTATCGTTATCCTGCCAAGAAAGGGGGAAAGCGATGACTGTGCTTCTCTCTAACATACTTTAGCTCTGGATCATACAGCTTTCTATAAAATGAGATACTCTGAAACCTACACACGTGTCCGTGTGTGTGTAGGCATGTATTGAAAAGGCAAAGAACAGGTAGCGTCGATCTGCTGACGGGCAGCTGCAGAACGCAACATGCAGAATTCCGGGAGGCAGCCGTGCCGCTGCTGCTTCCAGTGTCTAAGCAGCGCTTGGTTTGCCTTCTCACGGACGTGTGACAGGCTGCGTTTATAATAGAGTAAGTAGGTGTAGGTGTTCCGCAGTAAATGCAGGTAAAGGAATCCAAACTCCTTCCATCCTAACCTTTCTGATAAAAACAGCACAAGGAATTACATCTTAACGCTTCAGGGATGTTTCTATGAATGTTAAAACATAGGCTCTGTTCTCTTCTGTTCTGTCAGTCTGAAGGCTTTGAAAAATACAGGATAGGCTGTCCGAGGGAGGCGGTTAAAGGGGTAGCAGGAGTGCAGCAGGGCGTACTGGAAGGAAAAGCAGTGCCTCAGCTCATAAGGCCAATACTGCTCGTTGCCGCCTTTTGTGTGTCTTAGAAATTTGTCACCTCTTCCTCTTTCCTTCCGGAACACTAAGAAACCGAAGGATATCTGTGAGCTGGCAAAGCAAGAAATCGTTTGTACAAATAGGGGTTGATGCCTTTTTTCCCTTGGTGCTGTGATTCTACTTCAGGTATCACCACGCTGCAGGCAGCTTTTACTCTCACCGTCGTTTTCCTTTTCTCGCTTTCCATGCTACATAAAGGCCATAAACTGTTGGACAGTTCACTAAAAATCGGAGGTCATAGTCCAGCTGACTGAATTTAATCCTAATTTATAGAATTTGCAAGTGTTGAAAGCGTTCAGTACAAGTCTTTGTCTTGCTCTGTTGCATATCAATAATATGGCTGTTTTTAAGGTAACTTAAATTGTGCTGTATAGGAGAACTAATTTTTAGCACATGAGTACAGAATGGTGATCTTTCCATAAAAAGAATCATTCTGTAGAATGAAAAGTTTTATTTAAGGAAACCCCACAGCAACAACAAAACCCCAAGCACCTTCCAGAATCAACCCATCTTCTTTACATTTCAATTATCTGTTAGATTTTACAGGACCTTTTCAAGACCTTCCTTTGGATCTTCATTCGCCTTTCCCCCCGAGGGCAGAGAGTCTGTCCTGTGAGTTCAGAGCATCTCTGCTGCGCCTCAGAGAACCAGCCTTTTGACAAAGATGAAATGTTTTCAATCACCTACATAAGGGGGGGTTCTGTTGGTTTTGTCCTTTCCTAAGTGGTTTTTAACAAATTCCCGCTTTCAGCTCTGCAGAGAAAGGAGGCGCAGGCAGTTCCTTCTGAACGCTGCCGCGGGCAGCGGCAGGGTTGGCGGCAGAAGCTCCCCGCAGGGAACGCAAGCGCTCGTTCGGTTTGCAAAGGGCGCTGGGGAGGTTGCCTCCGGTGGGACGATAAGATACATCCTCTGTTAAGGCCCCCAAATTATCTAACATTTTCTGTTTGTTTAAAAGTACGTGTACTTTTCAACGGATTAGTAAATGATTCTTTTCCTTCTAAATTTCAGCTTTAATCGCCTAGACTTACCTCTTTATGAATCTTTTGAAGATTTGCGAGAGAAGCTACTTATGGCAGTTGAAAATGCTCAAGGATTTGAAGGAGTGGATTAAAACGCCGACCTTTTTCCCCCTTCCGAGCAAGTTCTGCTGGCACTTTTGCATCCGCCTGGCGGACGCGAGTGCCCACGGCAGAACAGTTGCACAGCGTTGGTTCATGGAGCAAACCCTTTGGCAGTGCAGTTGCCTGAACCCAGAAGCCCGAACTGCAACCTGCGGGTGGCTTTCCCGACGTTTCCACAGCAGATTACCAACTGCTTCACGTGAACTCTGATCACATTTCAGCAGGACTTACTCTATTTATGTTGTGCCTCTGTAGGCAAAGCCCTTAATAAATATTTTACATAATTTCTAATGACAATGAATGGAATTAATCATTTTACAGGTATAGTATTACAACTCATGTTTACTTCTTAATTGATTTAGACATTTTCCGATTTTATTTCATTATAATTAAATATCATATACTTGGAAAAATGAGCATTTTTCTTAATTTCATACCAGACTTGATGCCAGTGTCATTTTTTCAAAGCACATTTTGAGCCTTGTGTTCCCAAACCATTAAGAAGGTAGGAGAAAGCTGCGCTGGAAATTTTCCCTACGTGGGCTATGTACCGAGAGCAACTCTTCTCATTGGGCACATAAGTATTTTTCCGTATCCAGAAGTATGGACTGGATGTTGCGTTTTTGTATAAATATTAGAATAGTTACAAGTCAAGGGAGAATCATAACATAGCATGCCAAATCTCATGTTCAATACAGAAATTGCCTCATTATTGGTAATATTTACATGTACTATAAAGCATTCTGGGGTAGGGTTGGCATTAATCATTTTAGGAAAATATGCTTAACCCTGTCATTATCTTTGTAGAGTGATTCTTTTATTATCCTTTCCTCGTTACCGTTTGCAACGGAGGCATTTGAATGCAACCTGGCACTATGTGATTTGGCACTATGGAAAACAGGTCTGTTGTGTCTCCTCTTTGTACGCGTTCGCTAATGACAGCTAAATAACAGCGGGGGTTTTGGTTGTTGCTAACTGCACCGACTCTAAAGGCACTTTATGTAACACATGGAAGTCATATCTGGTTTTATCATAAACATTAATGTGATTATATTCCTTCTCACTGCACATGTCTTTCTGGTGCAATATCTATCAATTGTGAATTTGGCTGCTGCTGATGTATAAAAGAAAAAAAAAACAAACAGATGTAGAGCTGAGCCTGCAGACACGTTCCTCAGCAATTGTTTTTGTGATTTATTTTTTACTTAATCACAAAGATTTATTTAATATACACTGCTATCTAATCAATTTTGTTACCTATGACATGTTGCATGCTTAAACTATAATGTCTGAGTTGCATCTCTTTTGTGATGGATTAAAAGTGAGAGATTTGTATTTGATCCACTGAAGTTAAATGGTTACGCTACTACTGGAGCAGGTTTGAGGGTATGGCTTCAGCCATTTAACGTTCGGTTTTGCCCACGTACTTACCTACATACAAGCTTTTTCCCCCCGAGAACCCGTTTAATGCTTACGAAGCAAGATGACACCGCATGCCAAAACAAAACGTCACCTCATTGCCACCAGCTTTTTTAGCCCTGCCCCAGCCCCCGCTGGCGAGCACGACCTGCGTCTGAGAACGAACAGCCATGCTGCGGAAGCTTTGATACAGTAATGCTTCTCCCAAAGAGGCTACTGGAAAGCAGCTTTAATGCTAATAACAGTCAGCAAACGGTTGCGTGCTAGCAAACAGTTTGAAGCGCTACCAGATGCATGAGGAAGGTTATTCTGTTAGTTGAACACAGGTCAAGATTCGTTTCCTATTAAGTAAGTTTCCTTTCTGACCTTTTACTTGTGATGAGTGAGCTTGAACATGAGAAACGTACTGCAGCCGAGTAGACAGAGAAACCACGTGCCGGTCGTTTCGCTGGGGCAAGGAGCGTGGGGAAGGGGGAGAGAACGAGGTAAAGCGGCTGACCTTCGGTACGCGAGGCCCAGCCGGCTGTAACGTGGCCGCCCTTGAGGGAAGTGGTGTACTCCAAAATGGGTTTGCTTTCTGTCTTACCCTGGAGGATTTCTGGTGTGTTGGGAGGTGCCGTTCATGTCCAATGCCAGGTATCGGAACCTTAAGGGCTCCTGAGGCTTTTTTGGTTGTGAAACCGAAATGTAATCTCATGTATAGATGGAGGCTGCGGCCGAGGTAGAACCTGAAGTCAGGTTGTGTTTAAGAGTCTGCCATTTCTCTTGCTGTCATCTTGCTTTGGTCCCTTCCCTCCCCTCACCCTCAACTTCTGAAACAGGTTTACCAATACTTACCTACAGCAAAGCCCTGCCAGCTATCCGGAATTACACAGTGACAGCTGACTAGAAGAGAAATTTTTGTTGTTTGGTTTTTTTTTGTTTGTTTTAAGAAACGTCAAATAACTTAGTTTCACATCTTTTCAGATCCACTCCTACTCAGATCCGCTCACCTCACAAACTGACAGACACTCCAAAAGCATTCACTAGGTATTAAAATGGCAAGGTAAATTCCACTGCATGAATTGTAATTAATGTGCGTTAAACTGTTGTGGTTTACTTTAGAGAGGGGGTTTTTCATTTTTAGGAAACAGTTTAATATTAAAAGCAAGCCCTTGCGTTACCGTGGCAGCTTGGAGTGCAGCACAGGAACAGGACCTGACCTAACTCAGGCGGTATTGACAGCTTGTACAGCTCATGCTGACATTTGTGCTGTTTTGGCTTCCTTGCACTTAATGCAAATAGCTGAATAAATGCTATTTGTGCTGCTTGTGCCCTAGACGCTGCAACCACAGCGCTCGCCTGCACCACAACCCTGCGGAGCCCGCACAGCGCCACGGGCAGCTATCCGAGTTAGCTGTTGTTTCGGAACCACTCTGTTCAGTGCTTGATGACAGAAGTATGCCCAACAGCCCAGGTGAACACCGCAGTGAGCCAGCTCGTTAGCGTTGTTACCAGAGCGAGCTACACCATTAGGACGCAGCCCTGTGGTTTGCCTTATAGACGCGCCGCAGCTCCCTGTGCTCTGCAAGCATCCGTTTCTCCTTGGGGCCCATGAGCGAGCCAGAGTCAGTGTTCACAAACGAGCCAGACCCCGGGCAGGGTAAGCTGAGGGAATCGCTCGACCCAGTCCCTTCGTCGCATAAAGCTTCTCTTACGGTATCAGAAGCCTTCCTGTCAGCTAGAACCGTCGGGCTGTTACTGACGGACTGGGCATCCTGGTAGTTGCACAGATGGAAGCCCTAAAAAAATGTACTATACCCCCGCAACTCAGATTTCGTTATTGGTGGCTAAACCCTTGGGCAGATACGCCCCTCTCTCTCATCAGCCAGAAAGTTAAGATCTTCTGTGCTATGACAAAACCCGGCAAGTTACCTTCAGTTTTGCATCAAACTACGTGAGGCCGAGTAAGCGGCGTTAGCTGGGCCGAGGAGATGGGCTTTCTTCTGCAGGGCTCTTTTCCCATAAGGCTGTAATGCTGGTACCGAGATCCTAAGCTGGAGTCCAGACTTTCCATCTCGGAGTCCTTCTGGAGCTCCTGAAGCTACATTTGAAGGAACCCGTCTAGGAAAAAAAGGTAGCTAGATGTCCTTTACTTAAAACATCTAAAAAACACAAAGCAACTAGCACTCCCGGGGGACTTGCACCGTGGTGGTGTGCCTGTCTGAACACAGTCCACTCCTCTATACCGAGTTTAGCCCGTTCACCGCAAAGTGGCCCAACAGTGTTTTAAAAGGTTCTATTCGGCTTTTTTTTTTTGTTAATAAAATGGTAATCATAAAGGTGGTACCTAAACCATTAATTGTTTGCTTTTAAGAAGCCTTAAAGCAAATAATTCATAAAAATTTTAGTCACAATACAGAATAACGGGATCTGCAGCCGTTGCCTCCTGTTGACATTAAGGCTTAGAGATCTGGGCCCCGCCAGGGTGTAGCTAATGTACGCCACACCGGTCACGTTGACTCCCACTTGCATGCCTGCCTGCTGGAAACTGCTGCTTTTTAGCTTTCAGTCCAAAAGTAACAAAAAAAAAAAAAAAAAAACCACCAACCAACACACCCAAACCCAAACCCCCTCCGTTACCACGAGATTGATCTCTGTCTCTCTCACGCTGACCGCTCCCCTCAGCGAATTCCGAGCAGGAGCGGGTAAACGCGCAGCGGCGGCTGCGGTAGGCACTGACCGCGCAGCAAGCGCCTGCCCACGCCAAGGGGTGCGCGGCGGTTGCGGGCTCGGCCCCGTCAGGCTGGTACTGCTGCCTGCAGCGGTCGGCGGTAACCTGTTCCCAGTGCTTTGGGGGAAGCATTTTACATTATGCTAAAGGGCCAGGAATTGGGAAAACTAGGGAGCCAGGGAGGGGAAGCTGGATAGTTCGACTGCACTTTTGAGAGTTAAAAATAAGTGCTCATACCCATGTGATTGCAAGGGCTACTTATCAGCATGTATAGCAGAAAAGAAAGTAGGTTAACAGAGTGGACATCTTAAAACGTACATTAATTTTCTTATCTATCTTTTCAAGAAAAACTTTTCTTTTTCTATGTAAAACTACAACAACAAAGAAAAACCCCGCAGCCTTCACCGTTCTGTTAGGATGTTGCACTAAGAAGTAATGCACATTTGAAATGCACAGGAAACTTATAAACCTGGAATCTCACCACATGAATGTCACATACCCCTCCGCTGCGTCATCGTGTGCCCAGCACCCTGCTCGATGCCATCCCCATCCGTGCAAGCCACGGTCAGGCAGGCTGCGCACCCCCAACCGTTGCTGGTCCACGTTTATCCTCCCCTTACGTCTTGGGGTTTTGTCCCTTTTCTATAGTATTTTCACACAGACCTTGCTGCCCCCCCCCCCTTAATTTTTGTTAATTCATAGCTGTAAAAATACACACGTGTGCATCCACGTACAATGGTACCTGTTGCATTTTTATGCTTCGCTCCGCTCATCTGGCTGGGAAGAGGCTGGCAAGCCGACTGTCTCCGCCGCAGATTTGCCGCACCCCCGCAGGAGCCGTAGGTTATGATGCTCAAAGCCCAAACGGGAAACTCCAGAAAACAATGTTGCCACGTTCTGTGT